GATGGTGGTGTAGTGGACGAGATACCTCAGGGGAGGGGTTTTCTAAGTTTGGGGGATGACCCAGAAAGTTTTCCAAGTGTGGTAGCTGTTAACCCCGAAGAATCTGAAGGATATTCTCCCTCCGTAGGTGTGAGCATGTCAAATGGCCAAGAAAATTCACAACCGGAAAATGAAATGTTTCCACCGGAATCGCTCACCTCAGGTGACTCAGACGAAAGAAAGGATGTAGAAGAGACAAGGGAGAGGGATTTGGAACCGCATGAAATACCTGTACCTGATGAGGAAGATGGTTTGTTTGCATTTGGGGATGATTTGGAACCACCTTCTACAAAACCTGGAGTCTGGGAAATTAATTTTGGTGAGAGCCATTGGAATGATAATCAATCCAATAATTCCGAAGTGAGCTCTGAGCAAATTCACGTGTTCTTTGCGGAACAGGTCATGATAGCTTCCACTGCCCGAAAACAAAAGGTTGAGGTCAAGTATAGGGATCTCGGCTCTGATGAGCAGAGGTTGTTTGATGCTGCCAAGAACAAAGAAATAAAGGCGTGGATAGATCATGGCACTGTCCAAAAGGTCACACGTGGCACTCTCCGGTCCGACCAAATCATGCGATGCCGTTGGATTCTCACATGGAAGGCACCAGAAGTAGGAGGAACTGAACGCCGAGCGAAAGCCCGTTTGGTAGTGTTGGGATTTGAAGATCCCGACATTTCAGAAGTACCACGGGATGCACCCACTTTATCAAAAGACGGCAGACAGCTCCTTCTACAGCTGGTGGCCAGCCGACGCTGGGACCTTCTGAACTTTGACATATCCACCGCATTTCTCAAGGGTCAGGGTGATGGACGACCATTGGGCATATATCCCCCTGAAGAACTTAAAAGGGCAATGAACATGAAGGGGAGTGACCAGTGTTTGTTGAAGGGTGGAGCTTATGGACGGGTAGATGCCCCCTATCTATGGTATAAGGAGTTACGAAGGGTATTGGAGTCTTTGGGTTTTGTTGTTTGTCCTTTTGATGGTTGTTTGTTTTCATTGGTCACTGAAGGTCCGAATGGTCGCCCAGTTGTCAGGGGAATCTTAGGAATCCATGTAGATGATGGCATCGGGGGAGGGGATGACTATTTTAAGGGAATCCTCCAACAGCTCAAAGACAAATTCAGTTTTGGGGCATACAATGAGCATGCGTTTGAATTTTGTGGGGTTCATTACAAGCAATGGGATGATGGTACCCTGGAACTTGATCAGGAGTACATGAATCGAATTGAACCCATTAATGTCCCAAAGAATCGTAGAGCGACCCCGGAAGCAGACCTGACAGACACAGAAAAACAGTGTCTACGTGGGCTTTGCGGAAGCCTTCAATTCGCCGCGGTGCACACCAGACCAGATCTCTGTGCCAAGGTAGGTCAACTTCAAGCTTGTATCCCAAAGGGGAGGGTGAAGGATCTTTTGGAGGGGAATAGGGTTCTTTATGAGGGGAAGAAACATCACGTGTGTTTGTTGATAGTACCTATTCCAGTCAGAGACCTGACATTCTGTGCCTTTTCCGATGCATCCTTTTCAACGGCTTCAAGCCTGTCCTCTCGACAAGGGACATTGATCTTTGCAACAGATCAACACATGTCTCAGAATAGATGGACAGTAGTTTGTCCAATGGCCTGGAGCTCAAGAAAGATCCCAAGGGTCGTGACATCCACTTTAACAGCAGAGGCCATTGCTTTAAGCAGCACGTTGGACAGGGTGAACTATATTCGGATACTTTGGGAATGGTTGAAAAGCCCAGATGTTGACTGGACCAAACCAGAAGAGATCCTCAAAAGAGCACCAATGTGCAATGCAGTGACTGATTGCAAATCAGTCTATGACGTAGCAACCAAGAACGCAACACCGGCATGTCATGAATACAGAACCTTGTTGGAATGTCTTTTAATTCGAGAGCGACTGCAAGAAAATATGTCCCTTAGGTGGATAAACTCACAAGCAATGTTGGCTGATTCGCTTACGAAGAGTATGGAGACGGGGTTACTCAGGGAGTGTTTGCGAACTGGTAGGTATTCATTGTTTGATGAATCGGAAACTCTACGTCAGAGAGCCACCAAGAGGGACAAATTACGTTGGCTGCGTGGCGATGGAAATGCAACACAGACAACTGATGGAAAGTCACTGTCTAAATTTTTTTGTTTAAATTTTTGATTTTAGACCAGTGTGAAAGGTCCAGTTGTCATGTGATCACATGCATTCCATTCGCCTTCGTCCGAACTGACCGCTACATATCTCCACCAACAGCGGTGGGAGGGAGCGGACACATGCGTCAAGGACAAAACAGGCAGGGCTTGTGGTAGGGTAGACAGGGTCTCCCAAGATTTGAGATTGAATTCACAATATATATATATATGTATATATATATATGTATATATATATATGTATATATATATATACATATGTATATGTACATATATATATGTATATGTACATATATATATATATGTATATGTATATATATATATATATGTATATATATATACACATACACATACATACATGTACACATAATTACATTGTTTATTTACTACCAGTAGTACAGCACAAGGCGGTGGCGGAAGTTCAAAAATAGGAAACCTATAGGGTAGGTTGGGTTGTTGTGAGTCACCGATGGCAGAGCAAAGCCACTGATGGACCGACAGGTGGTTGAGGTCTCTTCTCTTTCTCTCTCTTTCTGTCTCTTTCTCTGACCATCTACCTACCTACCCACCTGGTCCGGATGATCAAACCCGAGTGCCACGTCGCCACGGAAAACTTCTGGTGGTCACAAAAAAACTACCTGGAGGCTAAGCTGCTGATACCATCAAAAACGAAGCAAGTCTGCTAGACCTGCTCAATGTCTAAACTTGACAACATCGTCTGCGCAGAAACATCGTGTAGTTGTAATTGTAGTTGTAGTTGCGGTAGTAGTTGCTGTTGTAGCGGTTAGTCTAATTGATTTAGTGTAGTGTAATTAGATGTAATTAATCTAGTGTAGTGTAATTAGTGTAGTGTTATGTAGCGTAGTATATTTGTATTTCTACTTGTAGAAGTCGTGTAGTGTAGTGTAATGGTCATTCTATCTATCGCTCTATCTCTCTATCTATCTGTCTGTCTGTCTGTCTATCTATCTATCTATCTGCAAGCTTGAAAACGAAGCTATTCTGCGAGACTGCCTCAGTTTTTAAACTTGACAACATCAAAAACGCAGCAATTCAGCGAGACTTCCTCTATTTTTGCATTTGACAACATCAAAAACGAAGCAATTCTGCGAGGCATCCTTCAAAAATGGAAAGTTGAGTGCAGAGCTGACGGCCTCTTACCAATGCGTTTTGCGATTTTTCCACTCCATCTGTCTAAAGTACTGCGCCAGCCACAAAAGAGTGATGCCAGGTCATACGAAGTGCTGCACCTGTCACGCAAAATCATCTCAGCAAACCTGAAGATCAGAGGCTCCAAAATGCAACCCCTCTCAGGAAATCAGCGCCCGGACCTCCTAACAGCTCTGATGAACATGTCTCTTGTATTGCGCCTGCCACAGAAAATGCATCTTTGCAGATCCTCTTCAAATGTCCCATGCCTGCCATCCTTTTTGGAAATGCTACAAAACCCTCACGTTTTGATCACTCTTGACAAAGTCCGCAATCCCTTGCCCTGCCACGCGAAACGACATCTCAACGTCCAAAAGTGGCGCGAACATATGGTGTTTTTAACATTTTGCCTTCGAAATGTGCTTCGCGCCACAACGGCGTGCACTTTTTCGACAGTGCAACTTCCAAAAGTGTGTTTTGTACATTTTGACTTAGAAATGTGCTTCGGGCTACAACGGCGTGCAATTTTTCATCTCTCATCTGGCCAGCTGGCTCCGCACCCGCTTTAGCGAGTTTACTTTTCGACCCTCCGGAGCTTCAAATCATTGGAAAAACACAGTGTTTCGCGACTTTCCTACCTTTTCGCGCACCTGGATCTGCTTTCTTCTGAGACTTTCTCTTTCTTCTTCTCTTCTCTTCTCTTCTCTTCTCTGACTCTTCCCACCTCTGCTTTTCATCTGTCCATATTGTCGGAAGTTTGACTTCTAAACTTCCTTCGGTCATATAGACGTATTATTTTGTGTATATTTATATCTATAGCAATATATCTTTATATCTTTATATCTTTTTATCTGTATATGTATATATTTACACATGCCTATATTCATGTTCATCTCTCCATTCCTATCATCTCTATCCCCATCCCTATCCCCATCCCTATATCTATTTGGCTATCCATCCATCCATCTATCCACCCATCCATCAACTTATCTATCCATCCATATATCCATCCATGTATCCATCTAAAATCCATCTACAATCCATCTACCCTACCCAGCTCCCCAGCTCCCCATCTCCCCATCTACTATGTACCTATGTACCTATTTACCCAACCACCTAGCAACCTAGCTACCTAGGCACCTAGGCACCTAGCTACCTGCCTACCTACCTATCTACCTATCTACCTGCCTACATATCTACATATCTACCTATCTACCTGCCTACATATCTATCTATCTATCTATCTATTTGTCTGTCTATCTGTCTATCTGTCTATCTGTCTATCTGTCTATCTGTCTACCTACCTACCTACCTACCTATAGAAATGGAGGAAGGTGGAAGTGTTGAAGCATTTACTTTTGGAAACAAGGGGCTCTACACTCCCCGGGTGGAACGCAACAAAAGCTGGCAGGAAGAGAAGGCTAGCTGAAGAAGTGTGAAGAAGACACATACAAGCTGTACTGTATTTTCAGTGTCCATGCTTCGTACACATACATCTTGAGCGAATTCCTTGCGAGTGCCGGTGAATTCTGAGAGAACAACTTCATACAAACGAGTAACCGCAACATATTCTTAAACGCTGGCCACTGGAATGGAAATTTGGACGCAACAACCAAGTGACTTGACCCGAATCCGGACCACGTCAACCCACTGACTCTTCAGGAGCTTCCCGAAGATGGGGCGCCGGTGCTTTCCATGGAGGATCCCGAGCTGGAGGTGGGGCCAGGCCCTATATCTGGAGGTATCTGGAGGTACTAGTTACATCTAGTTGCTAGTTATTATTTAGATTATTTAGATTTCTTATGTATGACCATGAATGCCGATGAATTACTTGTTGAACTTGGCTTATTGTAATCGAATTCAAGGCAGCAAACTTCTTCGAATTTCCAGACTGCGGCGTGCCAGCGTACTGGTATGCCGGTATGCCCAATACTTGATTTGTCATTTCATTTTCCGAGTGGGATTGTCGCTTGCAGGTGGAAGAAACCAAAGGGAAGAATAAGAACAAACCACAGGGCAAGGCATCAGCTTGCTTGGACATGTGGTTCGCATAAGTTTTTGTTTTTGCACATATCAGGTACCAGCATGGCACCGCATGGTGATTGATGATCATGCTCAAGCTCTTCTCGTTTCCAAATTTCAAGGAATTTATTCTCGATGCCAGGCCAAGGGTAAGTCTCTGCGAGGCTGAGATTGAGGTACGTAGGAAACTAATCATGTAAAAAGCTCGCACTCTGAGTGCTTTGAACATCCCTTGCTGGGAGTCATGGGACATTTGCACATTGTGTTTGAATGATTCACATCGTCAAGCGATGAAAAACAATGATACTTATGAAAAATGGCCCATCCTGCAGAAAGGGAGCCGCAGTCTGTTTCACCACATTTGTACCAGCTGGCCGCGGAGCTTGTCTAGCACTCACAGATTTCAGTTCAAAGGCAGTTCTTGCATTGCGCAGTCAAGAGTCAAGAGAAAGATTTTCCTTGGATGTTCTTTGGAGTGCTCCGGCATTGGCTATCTGTGCTTCGCCTTTGCGATCTTCTTGGGCCACGCTATTTTTTGCATGCCACCATCTCCAGGTTGGAATTTTGACGGACCATGTGGGACAGAATTAGAACATATTCTCATCTTGATTTGCAGATGTGGAAAAACCAGCTTCGTTGACAGTAGTCATATCTGGCCACATAATCTTTTCTTTGAAGGAATCGTTGGTCTTCGCCACTGACCTGGATTGAGCATGCATCTTTTAATGCTGCTGACACAAGCTGCAGCACAAACAGCGTAGGACCCAAAGCCACTCGATAGTGAGTCCGTGGAAGCAGCGTCACCATTTATTGCGCACAAAACTGCTACGTTTGGAAAGACTCACCTAGGCTGTAGCGACCGGTCGAACATGTCGAACCAGCACACTGGTTCTGAATTTTGAACCCAGCTGCTTACCACCATTTGGGTTTGTGCAAAAACGGGAACCCCAAATCCACTGGTTAACCAAAAAAAAAACATCATCATCCCATTTCCGCAATTAACACTGGCATTTTGGGACATGCCCCGTTTCAGGCAAAATGATTTGCGCCAAGCACTTTCACTTTGTATGATCGCTGCACCTGTGTGCAACCCAAATCTGCTTGCCCTGCGCAGGGTGAAGCTGGACTGCGGCCCACAATGAAACGCCGAGACTACAGGAGCCAATTGACTTGGGAAGCATCAGCTTTAGACCGCACAAATCTGCAAGTGAACACTGCATTGCCCCGAGAGGCTTCCGTTGCTTGTGAAGTGCGCGGGAGCCGGATGTGTGTAGTACGGCATAGTACGGAGATTTTTTATACAGACCACAGGGCTTTATGAAGATGTGACCTCAACACCCCTCAGACAATTGCAGAGCTTGGTGCTGGCAAAGCCTGACTTTTTGTCGCAATCCTTGTTGCACAATTTGTGAGGTACTACAAGCCGAAAGGCTTGGTCACGAGCATGCGCCATCTCAACAAGAAAAAGGGGATGGAGGCCTGATGGCCCACTGTACCAGTTTTATCGATTCCGGCCGTATATCAGTTTGACACTTTTCTGTCGCAGGACCTGCGGTCCGTGGTCTCCTTTGCTGGCGATGAGAACCAGACTTAGCCGTAGCCGAGCATCAAACAAGGGATGCATGGCGATGCATGGAGTTTGGTTCCCAAAGTTGCACATTGGGAAGTGCTTCTGAGGTTCGAACTGGATTTGTACCATCCCATTGGCCAACTTGCTGCTGATGCGAGCGGACTCTTTTTGTGGAGCCGAAGGCGAGTCCAGGGCCTGCCTTATGCCGGATGAAGGTCATGTCAGGCCAACTATCAGAAACAAACATATCAAACATATCTAATATATCAAACATATCAAACAGTGACATGGATTTAGCAACTTAGGAATTGCCCAAAGCTGGGACTTGTTCGACATGTTCTGCATATTTGTGTTCTGACCCCTGAGCTGCCCAGTGGCCTCATCACCCGGCAGCTGGAAGATGTACGACGAGGCCCTTTCCGTGGAAATTGACCAAGTGGAAGCTTTTTCTATTGTCCACTGATGTCCACTGATGTCCACTGGATCTAGAGAAATATTATGTCAATTTATTTTTCCAGTAGGGCTTTGAATTATTCATCTTTTTGTGTCTCTGTCTCTTGCTTGCTTTTTTTGTGGCATGCGGCACGTAAAGAGAGGAACTTAGCAGCGAAAGATCTTCCTCTGACCTTGAACAGAAAGATCTGGGAGGGAGAAGTCGATAGGGCATCACAAGACATCACCAGACCAACATGGCCATGGGGCCATGCTGTTCAGTTGCGCAGGGGTGGTTACGGTGATGGAGGTGGAGGTTTGGGGTACTGTGAATACCCCTGTGCTCCAGGAGGCACAGGACTGGGAGCTGAAAGAAGATTGGAATTGATCATAAGTTGATCATAAGAGCACCAGCCAGAAAATACTTTGAGCCTTTGATAGGTGTTAGAATTTTGCAGAGGAGACTCTTCGCAACCTGGGAACATGATAAAGGTCAGGAAAGCAGTAGCCACAGTTGTGACAGACGACCTGACACAAGGGCGATCAGCATCAAGATGTGAAAGATGTAAACAGGTTCTTCATGCAATGACCTGCCACTATCTGCCACTCACCCAGTATGTTCCCTCTTTAAATTGATACATTGAGAGATCCCCAGCTACCACGGAAAAATGGCAACCCTGTCGTGAGGCACTTGCTCGTGGTGTTACCTTGGGCGTGACTGGCTTTGAGAAGATCCTTGGAATCCAACGAGATGCTGCATGTGCGGGTTGTGTAGAGAGGGAATGCCAACACCTCATAGAATCAAGCACAATCACACCCAGGGGCCTTCTTCTGTTGTCTACCTAAATAGATTTACTTGCCCGATCCAATGCTTTTGCTGGGGACAAGAGGACCCTTTCAAGATGTTGCTTCTGACTCAGGACCTACTCAGCCCGTGTGCAGGAGGTACTTCGAGCTGCATCGAATTGAATCGTGTTGGGTCGCGTCTGTTGCCAGCCAGAGTGCCAGACGTGGGCGAGAAAGGTTTGCAAATTTGCAAACTTGTTTCTTTACCCTGGCACAGAGTGAGTGAGACGATTGACACTAAGGAGAGAAAATGGTAATTTTGATTCATTTATCACAAGAATGAGAGTTCTACTTGGGTTGTGGTCATAACTTTGGTCATGACATAAGAGTCAAAAAGAGGAACTGCCAGAAATCTTGGAATTGTCCTGTCCTGCAGCACCAGGCCTACCTGGTGCCAGACTCTCCACTTCAAGAGCTACGAAGCCGTGTCATAGTTTGCTGCGTCGATGGCAGGAGAGCCGGGCACTCCACAATTTTTATTTGAAAGGAAACAGAAGGGATTCCTTATTACTTATTACCAAAAGATGTTGTGATGCCACCAGATGTCTAAAGAGGACATATGGTCAACATTTTGCGTGTCAGGGCAAAGATTCCTGCAATGCTTGAGAGATGTGGCTACAAGGTGGTCATTGCCTTAAGCGCGAACATGTATCCGATGTATCCCTGCTATTCACTTCCAGTCTTGCCTCCTCCCCGCCACTGTCCAATGTCATTTCTGCAAAGGATTACATTGCACACTATGCAGAGAGCATGAGATGCATCCTTCCAGTGCCAGTGTTATTCACTTCCATACTGATCTAGAGCTCCAGTGTCCCTTTGGAATGGTATATATTACCTTTTGGATCAGAAACGAGTGTTGCCATCCTTCGCGTGACGAGATGTGACCATGAGCGCTTGTCTTGCAGCTTTCTAATATCGACTGGTTCACCCTACATATCCACCATGTCACCCTACTGTTTGAACAACCGTCTTGAAGCAGCGCGTGTACGCGTTTGCCCGCAGCAACTTGGAATTACTGAGGCAGCTGTCAAGCGTGTGCAGGCAGGTGATCATGGGAGTCGAAAGAATGACATCATTTGGTTGATCTACTCTTGCTGTAATAGTACGTTATAATACACATTGTATATATACGTATGTATATATATATACTTAATATATATATATACACTTAATATATATATATATTATTATATGTATGTATATAATATGCAATATAGGCAGTAGATAATACAGTCGATGGATTCGATACATCCATGAGACGCGATGCTTTGAGGTGGGAGGCTTCTCCTTGGGCGACATGCGGGAGGGCCAATTGAAAGCCGCCAGCCCTCAGGAGGAGGTCACGGTGACGGCTGGTTCCCAATCATTTTCCCAATCTAAAACTTTCCCGAAATGGTTGTCAGATATCCTCATGATAGCCATTTTGGGATGTTGCGAGACTCCATTTCGGGAGAAAGCGCATCTTGTCAATCTTGTCAATGACATGACAGTAGAGCAGATCTAGGGATGATTAAAACATATTAAAACGTAAACATGTAGTGAACCACTTCGATGGACTTCACTATTTTCCATTTCATTCGCTATTGGGCCTGCGTGTAGGCTTGGGCATGTCAGCTCGCAGGTGCACAGAGACCGTTGGTGCGTGATAGGTCCAAAGTTCGCAAGTTGTGCAACATTTGTTTATTCATTATGGCAATGGACAATGATAGACAGTACAGGAATGTACAGGATACAACATGGTAGATAATATATATATATATGATATATGTATATATAATTATAATTATATTGATCTGACCATGATATGTCTACCGTTGATATGATCGACCATATTCATCCACATTATATCAAGTACTGTCATTGTACGCAGCTACCAGATCATAGTAACTATGGTATTAGAGACTTTAACCTCTGGTTGTAACTAGCCTAGCTACGAAACATCACATTTCACATAGGTACATCATCTATAAATGGGCCATTTTCCATAGCAAACTGTTAGTCATTACCGGAGGGTAACCCATTTTATCACAGAGGGGGGAGGGCCAAAAAAAGTGAACTTTGTCTCAAAGCTTTTCGTGAACGAATGTCGACAATTTCCATTTTCGTGCAGTAGGGCAAAACATTCGAAGAAATATCTTTTAGGGGTTTCAAGTCTCTTAGGTTTTCATGTATGCGATCATGTTACAAAGACGATGAACATACATATATTAGTATTAGTTCTAATTGTTGCTTATATGGATAGATGTTTTTTGTTTATATAACTACTACCTCAACAATCAGAATGCAATCAATATGCAATGACAATTTGACTGCCTCTGCATCATCTGGATGATATTCGCGCGTCTAGTCGGGAAAAAAGAGCTACTGATATGTTTCTGCTCACGGTTTGAACATATTTGAATCTAGTTTTAAATCATGTTCAATATTCTATCTGGTTTGATGTTTATTTTTTCATAATAAAGAATACACATGCATCAATCATTTGGAAGCATATTTTGAGGATGTGTAAATATTTTGGATATATATGTGTGTGTATATATATATCTATTTATACATTATAAAGACGTGTTTTTGTTTGAATAACTAATATCTAAATAACATGCAGATTTAATATTTGAAACTATATTTTTGTTTAAATATGTATACTATATATATACACAATATTGAGATTATATTAATTCAAAGAAAAAACACTCAAACACACCGAAAAACCCGGGCCCAGATAGCGTCATGCACTCCATTTTACATTCCCATTATAACCATTTTGTTTTTTAGAATGCCATCAAGCCAATTGAACCATAGCTCGTTGATCCAGGTTTGCCTGCATCTGAGTATCCAGAAGGCTTTCTCCCAGAAGGCTGGGGTAGCAAAGCTTCATGGTTTCACCAGAAACCACCAAAGACATATTGTTTTGATGATTTTCAAGTCGCCCATTCGAAGATATTTTAAGAACCACCATGTTTGTTGAAGATGTTTGTTGGTTCACTTTGAGTCAACCTGAGCAACAGAGCTACAGATGATCTTTGTCCCAATGGCCAGCTGACGAGGAACGCCTCGTAGACAACGTCGGCGCAAGCGATGAACCGATGAAAAACGTGAGACCAGCGGCTGCTTAAAGTTGCTCTCTGAAGACGGAATCTGAGGGGTCGAATAGAGACTTTCTGGGCCAATATTCTGTGGACAGAGTTGCCTCCTTCATGCTTTTCATACCTTTTCATTACATAGTTTGCAACTTGTGTGCACAATCTGGCAACGTTTTGGCTCCCACGTACATTTGACCTTTCGAGTGTAAAGTTGCTCATTCACTGTATCGATTCACGCTGGTTCGGCAATTGCAGCTGCTGTTGTTGTCTTGGTTCTGGAAAACTTAGCTTGCTACCTCATAGCCATGTCGGATGCTGTTCACAAGATCTTCGTGGGCGGTCTGCCCCAGGACCAAATTTCTGAGATCTTCAAAAGCGTTTTTGATCCGAGGTCGGTATGCTTTTACCCTCCTGAGATGATGCTTCTACGTGAAGTTTATCTCGATACCTACCTACTTGAAATTTGCAAAGGACTGTCCACAAGAGATGCTGGAGGAGTACTTCGGCAAATTTGGCAGCTGGGCAGAAACTCAAAGGAGGAAGTCTCCAGTAACTTTTGTGCGGTGGATTCAGGATGGAAACGGCAGATTTTTCGACGCCTTGTTCAATCTGTTTTACTTTCATGTTAGGGAAACCAGGCCTTACTTTGTGATAAAGGCAGCCACCAAAATGCAGTGGCTCTGATTGAATGGTGTGAACTTCTTAGCTAGAGTTCTCTATGTCTCAAACTTGAATTTTGATCATTTTCCTTTCCTGGGAGGATTTTGTATCTTCATCTTGAGTCTATATTGGCAAAGAAGCTACACGTGAAGATAGCGGCGATTTTCGACCTGGCGGGTACAGCTGAGGCACCATTACAGATGTCGTGGTCATGACAGACCGTATCACCGGCCGATGTCGAGGCTTTGGCTTTGTGACATTTGATCCTCGGAAGCAATCCACACAGAATCACAATGATTTGGACAGAACAATTGAGGCTTTTGGCTGGTTAGTTACAAGTGAACAGCAGTGAAATACGATGACGTTTCCTAAAATGGGGGTACCTTCAAGTATTTCGGGGTACCCCCATGACCATGGAAAGCTTCAGCACACCAAGGACACTGCCGATGCCGTGGAGATGGTCATGGTCCCTTGGAGACAGCTCAGGCTTTCGATACAAATAGTAGTGACTAGTGATATCTATTGATCATGTTTGCTCTTGTCTATTGCGTATATATATATATATATGTATGTAAGTATATTATATATGTATATGTAATGTATATGTATATTGTTAGAGGTTTCCATTTTGACCCATAACCTGACCCATAACCACATTTGATGGCACATGACCATCGTGCTTCATGACCATCGGATCCCAGGGGCAGCATGGAGAGCACCAGATCCTGGGGAAGTGGGTGGATTGCAAACGTGCGACTCGTGAAGGCAGTAAAGGCGCCGGCATCGCACACATCGCACAGCGCACGGCATCGCGTCGTTGGCGGAATTCTTAATTTACGTTATAGTTTAAACACACATATTATCTTGCTTTAACAATTACTGTGCAAAAAATCAATAATTGTTTTGGGTTAAGGCTAAACAAGGTTTAGGTTAGTTGGTGTAGTATTTTTGGACACCCAGACCGTTGATTGCATTCCACCTCACATGTTTGTAGCAGGTGTGCCTCCAGCAAAAGGCGGTGGCGGCGGAGGAAAAGGTGGAGGACTGATGTGAAGCTTCTTGACTTGTGACCAATTCGCAAAGGATGCTTCTGCCAGCAGACTGGATTTCAATATTTGCAGCTTGACCCATTATATATTACAAAAGAATTCCAGGATTTGAACTGTGCCAGAGCTGCTTGGCAGGAGGGAAGTACGGTCCGCCCGCGGGTGGCTTCGGAGGCGTGTGTCGCGTTCATGTGAAATGGTCCGGCTTGGACCATGTGTGCTGACACAGTGTAACGCGCAATTTGGGCGGTAGCAGCTTGAAACAGCATGAGGTAAAATGTTCAGGCTATAGCTTAGCTGAAGCTTGTACCTCTTGGGCCAAGCAGGTAACATAGGTAACATTTAAACATGAACATGCAACAGCTTACCTGATACGCCTGATAGGCATAAGTGCAAAAGCAGGCATGCAGCTGAAAGACTATCAACAACCCTCGCATCCAGATTGTGGCAGGCTATGGTGGCGGTGGCGGCAAGGGCTATGGAGGCGTGCCGATGAACTGGTTGAGCAGACCACATGAAGCACCATTGGAAGCCAAGCTTCAGAGATTTCAAGAGTTGCTTTAAAATCTTAATGATGTTTAGACATGTTTAGACATTTGGATCAGGTTCCCATGGTTCCCGAGTTTTATGACAATTCCACACAATTCCCATCTTCATTATGTCATTATGTCCATTCTCCAAAGTCTTGCCTGGCAGGTGGCGGTAAGGGTGGCTACGGAGGCTGGGCTGCATAGCAATGGCTGTGCAGAGCCATGGCCCCATGGCCCCATGGCCCATGCCATCACCTGCACCATGGCACCAGGTCCTCCTGCCTATGGCGGCTATGGTGGCGGCTATGCTGGTGCTAGCTACGGTGCATATGGTGCCTCAGTCTATCTGAGATTGAACAAATCATTAGCCATCATAAACACCAGCGGCAGCGGCCAAGCTGCCCTTAGCCGAGGTGGAGCTGCATATGGTGCAGCTGGCTATGGCGGATATGGAGCAGAATCTTGGCAAGTTTATGGTTTTCCTGCAGGGTAGATGGTGCCCAAATTTGGAAAACACCCAGCCAGACTAGACACACTTTGATGATTTTGGGGGTTTTCTGTCTTGAGTAATAATGGTTGTCATTGCTACACTATTCACAAACCCTTAACAAAAGTACCATGAGCAAATGGCGAGTCGCGATAGGCGTATGGTGGCAAAGGCATGGGCAAGGACCCGGTTTGTTGGATGATGTCATTTTGTGATCTGTCGACGGTACAGTCCAATCAAGTTTCGGAGAGGACTTTGGAGGCTTCGGAAAGGGGTATTCGCCCTACTGAAGGCAAAGTCCTGCTTGAGGGACTGTGGGTCAGCGTGCGCTAGAGGAGATGTCTGGCCATGGGTTGATTGGAGAAGGTTTTGTCTTTGCAAGACATGTACGGCGTGTCTGTAGATTTGAAGTCTTCTATCTAGCAGACGACCAATAGGTGATTAGCCAATAGGTGACTGGGAGCCCTCTTCATCATGGAAGACCTCTTTGTTTGATGACAAATTTGAACCGGTCCAAGTTGACAGCTAGAGCCAGACATTGGCTGAGTGTTCATTGGAGACACGTTCTCAGGGCCCCGTATGTTGACTGAGAGATCTTGGACTTCCTTAAACTTTAAAGCTCTGTTTCAATTGCTGAGTTAATGAGGGGTTCAGCATTTCACAAGGCTTAATGATGTGCCTGTCCTGTGGCACCGGTGCCACCCAGCGGTGCCAAAGAGAGCTCTTGGAAGCTCGGTGCTCTGCTGCGATGCAGCTGCAGAGTTTTGGTGTGTCGAGTGATGTGGAGCTGTTTCGAGTGTGATGCAAGGCTATTTGGCGAAAAAACAGTTGGGCAGCTCTCGTCCTTATCCTCTTCCGTTCCATACATCTTTGTCTATTTTTGTCCTCTTTATTTGTGTTCGAAGTCGCTCCAGAAGCTCCTTACAACTCCTTACGTTATTTTGATTGAGAGCTGGGCCCTTCAGGTTGAACATGTACCTTTTACATCCTTTTACTGCCTTATTGAGCACGGTGGGGACAGTTATCTTCAAGAAGGGTAAAGACGATATCAAGTTCAGACCCTGTTGTCGTGAATAAGCAAACCACTATAAGGAGATCATTTCTGCGTCATCTTGGCTTTCTTTGGCGCGCGCATTTGAAACTGCAAGATATCGGGTAGCGGACCAGATCGCTTCGGGCTCCGAGAAATTCTTGGAGATTCTTGGCATACACCAGTAAACATGGCATGGTGTGCCCAAAAGCAGGGATTCCTTGACAATGAAATTCCCCTACAAAAACAAGTCAGTGGGTCCTGATGTAAACCTACATAAACCTACTCTAATCTAGGGTAAATGCGGGTGGCACGAACAGGCCTTTGGATTTTCGACTGAGCCAAGGTCTGTGGCGGGCGGAGGAGCTTCCAGGGCTCCCCTGCCAAATGATTCTGTGAGTGCCAGGTGAGCCATGACAGTCGGCTATGGATTTAAAAAACCCTGATGCCGGACTGTGAACACAAAATAGGTAGCGCATGGATGTCCACAATGTCCATCCCCCAAATATGATACTATGAGTACATGGGTTTTGACCCATCCCCGGTCTAGAGGACTGCTATGATGGTTTATAATTGTACTATGTATGCCGTGTGCATATTCTGTAAAGGAATTGACAAGACATCTGATAGGACAAGTTTCGTACCAACCTCCACATGTGAACAGACTCTTCAGGCTGACATCGATGATGAGACTAGCGCAAACCTGTGCACTCTGGACATTGCTACTTGTCCCCGACGCCATCATGAAACACCATGCTTCAGACATGAACGAGGCCACCATGAATTCTGCCCCAAGGTATGCCTTCCAATATGGAGAGGCATGGTGGCTGCAACGCCTTTATTTACTGTATTGCGTGTCCATTGGTTGGATTGGCATACTGCATACACTGCATAGACCTTCAATGACCTTCACATTGCCAACCAGCAATCTACCAGCTCATTAAAGCGTGCTTTGATCACGAAAGCTAGCGGCAGCTAGCTGGAGTTACTCTTGCTTCAGCAAGGGGAGGGGCAGGCCTGAGTCCAACACAGTGATTTTTCACTCGAACCCACCCCCCTCCCCCCAAGCTCCCGGGGCATTTTGAAGCGGTCTTGGAACCAGATGGTCACGGGCTCAAATCCTGCCAGGTCTCTAGGCAATCTGTATTCAGCATATCAAAATCCCATCAAAGTCCCATCGTTTTCCAGGCTCATATGAACCTTAGCTGCCTTAGCTTTCGTTCACCCCCCCTTGGGCCTCAAGTATCCCACTGTAATTACCAAGTTCATGGGATGAATGCGTTTATAAGAATGGCAAATGCTTGTGGGAGATGTGCATTTTGAACTTTACTTTGCAATTCTGTGCAGGCTGATGGACAGTGCGACACAAACCACGCAGTAGATACAGAAGTCCTCTTGCAGGCACTGCTTGAATTGCACGCCATTGCATTTTACATGTCTTCCAAGGCTTTTCATGTTTCCTTGGAGTTGTACGTGACGACTTGGTACCCAGAAGATTGGAAGATCGCACGCGATATGATGCGATATGCTGGTCAAGAAGGATGACGTCGGAACAGTTCCCATGTGACACCCATGTGTTCTTTTCGGAATTCTTGATCTCCTGCAGGTTGGATCGCTTAGGTTCCACAGCTGCACAATGCTGCACATTTGTTTGCAGAGTGTTGAGTTGACAGACTTTCTAGAAGTTTGCTAAGGAATCAATGATACTTTCTGCATCCGTTTCGACGGCATCATTTTTTTTCAATGCTAACGGAAGGTATTCTTTATGTATCAGCAACATCCAGCATCCATTTCTCAGGAAGGAATATCCTTCAAGCCTTCCAACTTACAATCGGAGCACCTGGACTGCATCAAACTCATGAGACTAGGATTTCTTAGTTTGAGGACAAGCTCTTCACACATTGGCTGGGACACAATGATGTTGCAGATCCAGGGCTGACCCACCCAGCATTGAGCAGAAAGGTCAGCCTTCTTTTGAAGAAGCAAAAGATGCACTAGGTGAACCAGTGCTGGCAACGATCGTTGACGAGGTGTTGGAGAATATGCACACCATTTCCCCAAGTTCTTTATGTGGTGCATTATGGCGCATTATGGCGCATTATGGCGCATTATGGCGCATTATGGCGCATTATGGCGCATTCCAAATTGTTTGTTTTCCATTTTTTCGGGCACGAATGCGAGTCACTGCCTGGATCAAGACAACTTTGCCAGGCTTCTGCTCCTAAAGGTGGACACAGCTATGGAATCTTCCACTGTACCTCGGTCGCGCAGATTCTTCAAAAACTGACAGGTCTGAAGAATCGGTCTGAATGTTATCTTGAGTTATCCTGGACTTGAACATACTTGAACATACTTGAACTATAAGTAAAATCAGGATATGTCAGGATGCACTTGTCTCATCTTGTCTCCCAGTTCTTCTAAAGTCCTAGGAGTCCTAGGTTGCAGTTGTGGACCAGGCCAGCATTCATTGTTCTCAGCCTCTGAACTGAGATCGACTATGGAGCCATCCGCATTGGAAGAAGAAGAGCCTACCAGAAAACTGGAAGCTGCCGAATGTGCTCGGCTCTGCCAAGGCTGCAATGTGCTGGCTGGTTCTTCTTGAGGATTTTGACACTAACAACTTGCATTTTCTCAAATTGGCCTCCTGTGTGTACTGCTCAGCAGTCACGGCTAGACAACCTTCCATCTTCACACCCATAAGGTCAACTTGGCAATTTTCAGGTCTGGAAAGGTTGTAAGCGAGTTTTTGCGTGTTTGTTGTACCAGATCAGTCTCAGTTTTGGAACCTCTGTAGAGATTGAAGCGATTACTTGTAGCAGCTTCGAACAACACACCCTTCAGAAATCACCTGAACGCGCAGGGCTTTGACTGGATATGCCTGGTGCTGTCCTTCACTTTCGCCTTTTTCTTGCGCTGGGCATGGCTTTGGCAGGCCAGACCTGAGAATCAGATCTGCAGTGACTGCAGTGCACTAGCTCAGCCGGCTTAGCGCCTCTTTTGGGGAAGCTAAAGTATTTCGATGGCAGACCACGACGAGAACCCAGACTGGTCATGGGAAGTCGGCAGTTCCGGATGCTTCAACCATTGCACTGAACACAGCTGCTCCCAGGACGACGACAAGCAGCTTCTTGGCCGATTCAGCTTGACGCCTGTGATTCCAATTGCATCAACAAATTTAGAGCCTGAGTTGACTGAGATTGAGGCTGAAGCCTCACCTGGCTTCAATGGGAGTTTGGTTATTCTTGGCTGGCATTCTGTTTACGGCCATCTGGCAACGCTTTGGCAAGGCATGACCGGCTGTACTCAACTCTTTTGGATGTTGGGCATGGTGTGTGTGTGTGTCTGTGTGTGTGTGAAGCTTGATCGCAGGCTGAAGGAGTGCAGTGGGCAGCCGGCTATGTATTTGAGCTGTTTTTCATGCTGGCAGCCCGGCATGGTATTTGAGGTTAAGGTCACGAATAGCTTTTCAAGTGTCAGATTCAGATCGATGTTGATGCTAGCGAAGATATCCGGAGAACTAGTCTGCTTGCGCCACCCCTCACAAGTCACAACTCCTCACAACTCACAACCAATCGTAAGGAAAACGTGTTTGTCTTCCAGTATGTGATTCACGTTACCGGTCTGCCCCGCCGACTTGTTGCACGAGTGTTGGAAGCTTTGACTGCATTTATTCCTGCAATCCTGTGAAAGTGAAATGTGATGCAACTACCGGAGCTACAGGAATGTGGTTAGCCCAGAAGTGCTTAACAAGAGAGAAATCTGCCAGGGTTGTCCGGCCAGATTCAGTCTGATGTGTTTGTACTAAAGCCAGCATTGACAGAGTGACCTGCCAGATGGCTTGCGTTGACTGTGCATATGAGATCACGCGTCCAAGAATCTAGCTAGAATCAGATCGTGCAGTTCCCAAGCATTGAACCTCATGATATTTTGAGCAATGTAATTGCCAGAAGGCGATGAAATATGATGAAATTCTCAGCTTTGGAGATGTTTTCTTATTTCAAAAATTGACATATTTTGCATCCAAGGACCGGGTGGTGTGGGCTCAGATCATCTTCGAAGCTGCCAATTGGCCTGTATGGTAAACCCTGTGTATGCACTTGATGGTATAGCATGGTATAGCGGAGAGCTCGATCGGACTTGAAGACGCGTTCAGCACAGGTGTAGTGTAGTGCCCAAAGCCGACGCAATCGCAGTTTCAGCCTCGCAGAGGTTTTCTTTTTGGGCTTGGCGAATCAGTTGCGATCTTTCCACCTCTTGCCACAGTTCTTGGGGTTGGGCTTGACCATGCTTGGGGCGTGCAGCACTCAGGAAAACTATGGAAAACTCTTAGAATTTGTTACAATTCCAGTGTCTCATGGTCTCTCTGACTTTCATTGATCGAACCTTTCAGGTCTACCCTGATTGAAGCAACCAAGAAGACAGACAGCGAGGTGCAAATGACCCCAGTGCTGTCACTTCATATCTGGTCCCCGCAAAAACATGCAGTTTATAATAAGTTATAATACATTATAGTATGTAATTGTGTTTTCACGTTGCATTTCAGATGCTACTGTTTATTGTTGGACAGTTTCAGGATTCGTACCGTGTAGCCTCTTGCCATATCATTTTGCACAGTGAGATGACACAGCAAAGTTTGCATACTCCCTGCTAGTTGTCGGGTCCGCTGTCGCTGGCCTTGTTGTATGCTACTTTGGCGCGGCAAAAACACCTTGAGCTTACCTTCTTGAAATGGATTCTTGCTTCAGTATTCCCCAAGCTCAAGCAATCTCCACCGCAAAACTGCAACTGCCTTTGCGGTTGTTTGTCTTTGCCTCACCTCTCCTGGATGAGGTCAACGCAGATTTTAGCAGTGCAGTGGATCTGATGGATCCGATATGATCCGATATTGCCTGTTTACGATCATTTATTGTTTGCAGATTTTGCAGGCTGAGGGGTGTCTTGGATCTGCCCTGAAGACGGTGACATCTGCAGACAGCCTTGTGTCAGGAGCTGCGGCTTTGTTTCAGCATATTTCAGCGGCATGTCACATCATAGAGGCTACTTGGTCGCTGTGGTCAGGAACAGTTCAAGAAGATGGATTGTTTTTCTTCGAGGATAGCAGGCAGGGTAGTGACGCGAAACATGTTATGTTTCGGTGCTGATCATATTGATTTGTATTGGGAAGGCGAAACTGTCTTTAGTTTTGAATCGACGCCTTTTTTTAATACTCAAGATGCCCACTTTGAGGGCGGCAAAACTATTCGAACTTCTATGGAATTGGTGGACTGATTTGTATGCCTTGACCCTCCTCGTGCCGCTGTCTCTGGCCACAAACCTTTTGGCCACACATATCTCACACCTGAAGGATTCGATTGACGGTGGCAGGGTCAGTTTGGGTGTTGCTACTGGTGATCGAATCTTGGACTGTTAGGGGAGATGTGCCGAACTATGTCAAAGTTGAACTGTTGAACCAATTGCGGTATGCGGTAGAGCAAGCCTTTTGAGCAAAGCTCGTCGCGGACAGGGTGACTTGTGACATCCAAGGACTTCTTGTGTGAGATCGACACGGTGTGTGAGCTCAGTGCGAAAGAACAAAGGAATGAATCCATGACTCATATGACGGCTGCATGTCACACTTCTCAAAGTGTTTCAGTTTTGAATCTGCACATGCGCGAGTCAATTCAGGGATAAAACTGGTCTTATGTCTTATGCAGGCAGTTTTCTGACCTGTGCAATTGCAATGCAGCAACGGCACCGTCAGAAGTTATGCTTCATGATTTATATATATATATATAATTACAGTTCATAGTAACTTTCGGGTTTGATGCACATATCCTTCCATTGCTTTAGATGATACAGTGGGGTCGTGTTCCCAGCCTGCACAGCGAGTGTCTGCCCATCAGACCAATATTTGTGATCTCCTTAGCTCCACGTGCAGGAACGGTTCAATATGGACCACTGGGGTAACATTGGCAACACCCATCAACATCCATCAACACCCAAAAAACATCCATTTGTTCCTTCACTGACTGTACTGATTTGTACCGTATTTTGGTGTTCACCACTGGTCCGATGGGTACCCTCAACCGTTGTATAGATTCTAGTCGTCGTCAGTGCTTTCTGAGGTCCTCACCAAGATAGAAGAGATTCGGCAACTCGGATGTTTTGGGTGTCTGCGAGGAAGGCTTGCAATGGAGCCACCCAAATCTTTAAATGCAGGATTGCACAGCATGTCAGTCTTGAAATGCAGGATCTAGATGGATCTAGGGTAAATTGTTTCCAAAAGAGACAGGGAGTGCCACTCTGGACATGAGAACATCCACTTCACTCCCACCGGAGCAACTGTCAATCCTTTGCCGTGTCTTTCCCTTTGCGCGTGCTATGCAACTGTAGAACAAGAAACCAATCGGAGGGATGAAACCAAGCTCCTGGAAAATGACTCCCGTATTGATCTGTTGACTCCCAGGTGTTGACTCCAGGTGTTGATTTCTGTATGTTCTTTTTATAATTGATTTCTTCGATCAGTTTCAACATGTTTCAACCTACAGTCTAGGAGGCCAGCGACATCCAGCTCCCCTAAGCCCTAAGGAATCCATTCATTGCTTTCAGTTCTTCAGCCATGGCGGCCTTCTCCTTGCCGGAGCTGCACCTTGGCATTGCTACGCTGCTACGCATTGCTATGCTGATCATGTTGACATCTTTTGACATCGACAACTCCATAACATCAATTTTCCATGATTTCTCATGATTTAATCTTCTTGTAACACTTTCTCCTCGACGTATTATCTCAATGTACCATACAGCACAATACACAAACTGTTTGAGCTTGCAAAGCAACACCTCATGCAAGGGGGAGTATGACGAAATTTGCAGATGCCATCATTCCATCTACCCTCTGGTAATCAAATGTGGCAATTGAACATCCACTATAAATGGAGATTTTCCAATGGTGTTTTAATGGGGATTTTCCAGCTATGTTTGGGAGGTGACACGTTTCAGAACTCGCAGCCAGGTTTCTCTTGAGCCAGGACTTGCTGTTCTATTTCCCCTTGGTCCGGGCCATGCAACGTGAATCGACTTGTTGCATGAGCACATAAGTGTCTCTGAAAATGCTGCAGAGCCCCAAAATGGCAATATACTCGTAGAATCTCGTACATATATAAATTAATGGACACATAAACTACATAAAATGAATGATGAGTCATCACCCATTTTCAGGCAAACCCCATGTGTTCGTACACGTTTGGTTTGACTTTTTCAATCCTGTGTGTTGTTCCTCCTGGCTCAAGCTGAAGCGCGTGAACAATCTCAAGGTCACACAAGGCTCACAGCCTGTTTCGCCAAAGTCATCCAGATCTTAAGAACTTCAGAACGCAACAGCTACGGTTGTGCCCGCGCTGAGAATTAGATGTCCTCTTGCGATGGTGTTCCCTTACCCTGGCCTTTGAGCTCCTGGAGCAACGTCAAGGAGTGGATTGTTGGTGCAGTTCTCCAGTTGGTGGCTTTGCAAAGTGTCTCAATATTTTCCTCAGGAGCTATTGGGGAAGCTCCTGGTGGACCACCAGGCGCTGGAGACGATGGTCCTTTATTTGGAAGCTCCCGTTTACTCCAAATGGGTTTGTCTGAAAATAGAATACCCCCAAAATTTCATCAAATTTCATGGTGTATACTGTATATCCTCATTTTCCCATACTTTCCCTATTCACATATATATTTTAAACTTGCCATTGGGGGTCTATGGTATGCCCCATCAGAGACAAATCCACATGCGGAGCCAGGAAGGCTTCAAGGCCTTTCAGCAGGATGCACTGCTGTCCCTGGCATATGGCGAGGACGCCTTTGGCTGTGTGCTGGGGTGCCTTGGCCAGCAGCTGGCTGCAAAATGGTGAGTTCTATGGGCAACATGGTTAAATTATGTTAAACTATGTTAAGTTCTTGCAGGATTCGCATAGTGTCATCGTTCTGCAACATGCTGTCCCATTTAGGAGAGTTGGATGAATGTGCAAGAGGCCTTTGGCTGTTTGCACATGGACAGTGCGTAGGCGAACACCCCACCACCTGTCCTTGAGGCACTACAGTCTGCGATTGGTGCTGCTGATTTTTTCGGACCCCTGGGAACGATGGCTGCGGCTGCAGGAAGAGCTATTGCCATGGGCTTCAGCCAATGTGCTGGAGGTGATTTCTGTTGGGTGAGGACTTATATTTATCCATTAGCAGAAACCATACTGGTAATGCCATATAATGCCATGGTTGCTGTAAGCGTACCTGACTGATATCTTTAGCGCCAGCAGCCTTCATTATTCATAATAGCTGAAAGAGTCACAAAGTGCCTTCAATGCGGAACCTTAAGGCATTTAGGGAAGGAATCCTCAGCTACTCAGCTTCAAAAAGCCGCAGTGCCATGGCAGGTGCTTCAAAGTGGTTGGCCAATCTTTGGGCTTCTGGGACTTGTGGCCTACAAGCTAAGCCGTGATGGTGCTGGGAAAGATGCTGTATGTGAACAGCCAACAGAGTCCTTCCGCATTCGGTATGAGGATGGGATGCCGGTGAAAGGGCTCAACTGTTTGATGGCCAGCGTTTCTCCGGAAGTTACTGGTATTTTGCCTTGAGTATCCTCTCAGTTGTGGTTTTTCAATGTTTTCCTCTTGTTTCTCCTGAGCACAGTCACCAGCTGTGCAGCGCAATGCTTCAGCTGCACCAGGAGGTCATGCTGTATGGGAAGGAGGTCCCCTTCAGTCGCGACGTGGAGAACACAGCCGTAGAACTGCTGCAGCACTTGCAGAACCGTTCACTGCGTTCACTGCGTTCACTGTTCCCCTTCGGCCGTTTGCATCGAGTGCCTTCCCTGGTGCATTTTTGGAGAATTCGCACATTGGTTGTGGTGGGCTACAAAGCAGACAGACGGACATACTGGAACGGACAGAAAACACATGCAGAAGGAAGCAGAATACTGTAGATTCTGGATAGATTGTGTAGGTCTTTGAGGACAGGAGTCTCTTCAGGTGTATAATATAGAAACTGCACCATGGAATTCTCTGCGGAGAAGTCTGTTGTTTCTTTGCAGCACAGCTCCAACCGAATTCTTGCCCAAGGCGTGCCTGTTGGGTGCTGGACTCCCCTTACTGGGATACGGTGCCTCGATCTCTTGTGCTTCCCGCAGAGATCTTCGCACCAACCACTTCTTGCAGAACTTGATTGCGGACTATGAGGACATCGCAGCGGAATTGCAGCAGCTATGAGCAGCGTGTAATAAAGTGTATAGGGTCTGTAGCAGAATAATTAGAATAATGATCAAGACATGTCAAGACATGTCAAGACTTGAGAATTTGGCAAATGAACAGAATTGAGAATTTGAGGAACTTTGAGGCTCTAAAGATGTTTCCAAAGAGAATTTGGCATCAAGCTTGCGCACATTCTTTTCACTACAGTCCGTACTTGCCGATCAAATTATGCAGAGGAGGTATTCCTACGCCCAGCAGCAAGACCGTCTTCCTGTTTGACAAATTCCAAGCGATGGCAATGTACATCAGAAGCTCTGCGTGCAGCTTTGCAGTGTTCAAGTCGGTTTGCAAACAACAAGGAGAATTGAGATGCCCAGATCGTAACATATTGGTCGTCTCTTTCTCCCTCTATATACCTATATATATAATATATACACAATATGTATATATATATATATAATGCTGTGGATATGAATATACTGTACACAGGATGCAGTATACAGCAATTTAATATCTACAGATGCATACAGATTGGAGTAGAGTACCAGGTAGATCGATGTCGTCGAGCTCTGACCGAGGAGGGGGAAAACCGGGAAAGCCTGGCGAATTTGCTCTCCAGTGGAATGTGGGCGGCAGAGTCATTGCACCTGTTGCAGAGGCTGTCTGAAGCTTGGGACGTCTCTGTCAACGAAGGCCCTTTGAGAGATGGGAGGACACTGCAACCTGGGAAATGGTTCGGAAACGGCTGAGCAGCATGGAAAGAGTCTTTCCTGTGATCTCCGGCGGCTAAAGGCACAACCCAACATTATGTCGTGGATGGTTTCCATATATGGCTTTGTGGATGGGAAGTTGCGTTTTTGATAGACGATAACTTAGTTTTGCCTTTCCAAGGTCCAAGCATGTAAGCATCCCAAACGACATATTGACAAATCGAAGGAAACAAGCACTCAAAGTCTTTCTCACTAGCCGAAGGAAAATTCTGGTCTCTGTGGATCCCTTGGAAGACGAGTTTCATGGATATGGGTTGCCCGCGTTCACCAGTCATATGTGGGCTGACTCTGATCGCTTCGCAGTCCATCCAGGAGAATTGTTTCGGACAGATTGGATAGGTGTAGAGGTAGAACTACGTTTCATCTTCGCTTTCTTTGATCTTTGTATCTGCGCCTTTTACCTGTCCCCTCCTTGTGTGCGTGAGTTTTTCTACGTAGCTTTTCGTTCAACTTGGACGGACCTGTCTCTTGTTGGTCCTTCACATCTATGGATCCTATGGGTTTGTTATGCAAGATCTTCCCGAGAGTCCTCGTGAAAAACTTTTGTGTGCCCCCTCGAGGAGACAGCTGTCCGGACGTAATGGTAGCACGGGATTCTCTTCCAGCTGTGCCATTCTTCGGAGCTGTGGTTTACGTTGACCATGAGGCGATGGACGCTTTGCAAACTTGCCCCACCTTGGACCATATGCTTTCTCATGTCATGAAGCAGCGGCAGGGGCGCATCTTTTTTCGACAAAAGTCATCATAGCTGGGCAATTCACACCATAAAGCTGCCATAGTTTACGCACCTCGCATACAACCACTCAGAGCAGTCCAAGTCATCAAATGCCGAAATCCCAGAATTCCCTGTGGGGGTTTCCAAAAATGGAGTACCCACAAATCATCCAAGTCATTAGATGTCATTAGACAATTTTTGCAATTTGAGTATTGAAACCAATTGAAACCCATGGTGACTTAGGGATGCCCTGGGAAACCATCCTGCGCCAGGCAGGGATTGGTCCAGGCCGTGATGCAGGCAGGCTGGCAGAGGCGCCGCTGACTACACAGCGGCAAAGTTCGGAAATGTGTCATTGCCGTGGATCTTGTAGACTTTCTACTTGAGAACTATATAACATGTTATTACAACACTAGAGTACATATTATAATACATTACTATATATATATATATTATAAATGCATATGTATATACATGTACAGATATACACATACATATATATATATACATATAAAAATTATACATATATATATATATACACATTATACATATATATATATATATTATACATATATATATATATTATACATACATATATATATATATTATACATATATATATATCTACATACATACATACATGCATGCATGCATGCATGCATAAATGCATACATGCATATATACGTGCATATATACATGCATACATTCTTACATACATACTTACATACTTACATACATACTTACATACTTACATACACACATACACATATATATATATCTACATATATTATACATACATTACATTACATTACATTACATTACATTTCATTACATTACATTACATTACATTACCATACATTACCATACATTACCATACATTACCATACATTACCATACATTACCATACATTACCATACATTACCATACATTACCATACATTACCATACATTACCATACATTACCATACATACATACATACATACATACATACATACATACATACATACATACATACATATAGACATACATACATACATAGACATACATAGACATACATAGACATACATAGACATACATAGACATACATAGACATACATAGACATACATAGTCATACATAGTCATACATAGACATACATAGACATACATAGACATACATAGTCATACATAGTCATACATAGTCATACATAGTCATACATAGACATACATACATAGACATACATACATAGACATACATACATAGACATACATACATAGACATACATACATAGACATACATACATAGACATACATACATAGACATACATACATAGACATACATGCATAGACATACATACATAGACATACATACATAGACATACATACATAGACATACATACATAGACATACATACATAGACATACATACATAGACATACATACATAGACATACATACATAGACATACATACATAGACATACATACATAGACATACATACATAGACATACATACACACATACATCCATCCATGCATACGTACATACATGCATACGTACATACATGCATACATACATGCATACATACATGCATACATACATGCATACATACATGCATACATACATGCATACATACATGCATACATACATGCATACATACATGCATACATACATGCATACATACATGCATACATACACACATACACACATACATACATACATGCATGCATGCATACATACATACATACATGCATGCATGCATGCATGCATGCATGCATATATATATATATATAAATGTATAACATGATTGCAGACGCCACGGCAGATTCTCCGTTGTGCTGTGACTCTGTAACCTAACTGCTCATCAAAAGGAAGACTAATCGACGGTCCTTTGAGGCTGTGTCACCTTGGCTTGCAGGTAAGAAAGCGCTTCCTTCATGGAAGAACAATTAAGCATATGGTCCTGGTGCTGTGGAGTAGCTTCATTTCCATGTGGAGAAAATTAAGCAATGACGCTATGACTCCTCAAGCCTGGCTTCTTCCATCTTTCTGTTCTTCCCATGGACAGGTCTTGGCCAAGTATCGAGTGGTCTATCTGGGCGTCTTGGAACCTTTGGCAGCCACCAAGTGCCTTTCACGATTCGGCTCAGCCGTGGCACAGCAGTCCCGGGTCTGTGCGAAGGCGAGGAAGCTTCGATTGAACAGGCTTCGTCCAAACATTGGAGATCGCCCAAAATGGCAATTTTCATGGGGAACATTTTGACATGATGATAAACCAATGGTGATCCAGGTGCTGTCGAGTTGGATCTGATGAACCTGAAAGATCTGAAAGCAATGGACTAAAGGTGACTAAAGTGATTCTACAGTCTACAGGTGAAGAAACCGAAAGGTTCCAAAGAAATTCTGCGGTGAGTTTGAGGGTGCACCTGTCTGGCAGGTTTTCGATCAACATGCTTCGAAATCGCCTCCCAGCACTCTGAAACTGGTGTCTCTTGTCACGAAAGGAGCGGTATACTGCGCAGAAACTGATGGATGATGATGGATGTGAATGATGGTGGATGTGATGATGGTGGATGATCGTGGATGACGGTAGATGATGATGGATGATTGTGGTTGTTTGATGTTGTTTCTTCGGCCAGTCCAGAGATGTGGCACCTGCGAGAACTCAGGTATGTGCCTTACGCTTCCAGCTCCTTTGCAGCTCGACATCACTCTCCACTGGACCTGCTGGTTTCCAGGCCCATTGAAAAGAGCCACTTCTTGGCTTACATGGCCTACGTTGCTTGGTCGGGTCTTGCTGCTGTGAATTCTGATCCACTCTTTTTTCCCAGTCTTGGAACTGGCGAATTGATATAATTTGATCTATTTGAAGCCAATTTGTATCTATTTGTTTGATTCTGAGCCTCCAATCCCAGCACAATCCCCAGCAGAGTAGGAACATCTACGAAGCTGTTCTGGTTTAGCATTTTTTGAAGCGGCAGTTTAGGCCTGTGTGGATCATCGAGAACGGCTATTTGACCTTCTGGTGCAGCGCGCAGCATCTGCCAGGCTGGAGGCTCCAGTGGCACTTTCACGCTGCACGGGTTTCCGCTCACGACACAGGTGCGAAGGGGCTGCTGTTGCAATAGGTTGCATTCACAACTTCCATGGATAGCTTTGGGCTGATCCAGCGTGTGGCACGTGGATGTTTCTGTAGGCGCCAGCTTCGCAACCACACACGAAACGTGGCACTGTCCTTCTTGGACGAGGCGGTCGAGCTCTTGAGGCAGGTCACCAATCAAGTGGAAGCATTGTTTGTCCAAAACATAACATTTTGAGTCCAGTGCGCATGCTTCTGGTTGTTTGAAGAATAATCAACACTGGAGATGAGCATGTGGCAGGTGCTTTGACCATGGTTTGATAAGCCCGAAGTGCAACTTGTTTCGGATCAGAAATACACCGCTTTTTTTCGCTGCACTGAAGCGATAACCAGCCTCGGTGACAGGCCCTACAGGTTTGCATTGGTCTTCGAGAACAAGCTAGTTCCAGGACTGGGTGTGCTCACGCTGATCTGCGACAACAATGTATACTTACTATAATTGTCAAGCATGAAAATTTTGGATGAAAAAAGTGTCAGAGTCTGTAAATGCTTTGAACAGTTTTGGGGTACCAAATCAGCAAACGCATACGCCCTCGAGCAGTTTGCCATTGGATCGCCTTGTCCTCGCTGCACATTTTTCACAGGCTGGGTCTTGATGTGTCTTGGGTTGGTGGGAGATGGTGGGACAGGTTATGTGACCGAGAAGATCGTCAATGCTTTCCTGGCTGGCTGCATTCCCATCTACTGGGGATCTAGGCGCGAGAGTCTGTTGGAGAAAAAAAGGTGGAACTTCTGTGGATTTCTTAGTGCTAGGTCTGTATTGGATATCTTCAACCCGGACTCTTTCATCTTTGCCAACGAGATTCAGGCTCTGTTTGTGGCAGATGGTCGAGGTAGATCAGCAGAAATTTTGATGGAGATGGGACCTTGGGAGCTTTGGAAAAGTCATAGGAAAGGTCGCAGAGGAGCTGTGCCGTTTATTTTTTGGGCAGAGGAATAATTGATGACCACTGTTTGGCGTCAGGGCAATTACATAAATAATACATGGCCCGGTATAGAAATGGAGCGACCACAAAATGTTTCAAGTGAAAGATACGAAAGGATTGAATAATGGCGAAATACCTCATGAGAGCTCTCTACTTGTAGAGGCACCTGGCTCCTCGGATTACAACGCTATGGATCCACTGGAGAATCTGGACCGTGTTGCTGACTATGTGGCCTGGCCTTTGCGCAGGACCACGACAAGTCTTTCTTATGGGCTAATACTGAAATGGGGGTTTCCTAAAATCGCGGTACCTCAGATCATCCAAACTTAGATCATTTATCATTTGCGGATCCCCCATTTTAAGAACACCCCCAATGGCTGACTAAGGTCATAACCCTGGCTCAGGATGAAGCTGCCCTAGAGCGCATGGCAAGGGTGCCAGCTCTGGACAAAGGGCGCAACTCGTCAATTTCATCGTCAAATTCATTTTTTTTTCACTGGGAGACGAAGCAGCATCTTTGGAAAGGGCATAATATGCTCGGAAGTGGGTTCTCCAAGCACTATCGGCACTGTTTTTCTGGAGTCTGCAGTTTGATTGCAAGAAGCAATGTAGATCAGTAGCTTGTTTTCATGATCCATGCAACATGAGATGTTTGCACGTAGCTGTGCCATGCTGTTCGTATGTATGAAATGGCATGATATTGTATATTATTGTATGAAGTGATTGTGGAAGTGATTGTGATTGCAACTGATTGTGTCCCGGATCCAAACCAAGCTGGGACCCTGGGACAGGTTTGCACAGCTTCTTCTCCTGGCACAGCAGTGTGCGCAGCGACGCTGGCGTAGCGCTGCCTGAAAGGCTGACGGCTGCGCTGCCTCGACTCCAGCGACAGGTGCTTTGTGCCTCAGGCGTGGCAAAGCCAAGAGGGATTTCAAGGCGGTTCCCGAATGGGAACGGATGGGAAGATAACGACATGTAAAACCAAGGGACAACAACTATTCAATACACTCTGATATATGTTGATCTATTTCATTTGTGAAGTGGCGTTGAGAACAAAGCGAGTGCTGCATTGCCATTTCAAAGGATACTTGATAATAATTGTACAGAAATAGTGGAACCAATAACACGGTACAGGAACACAAGAGCAGGAACACAAGAGGATGAAGTGAAAACAAACAGGATTAAAACTATGCTGCTTGAGCTTTGAGGGCGGGGCCTTGAGTAGTTTGAAGTAGGCTCTGCATTGATGCTACATCGGTCTTCGGCCCTCACTTCGTGGTACTTTTATTTTTGCCTAGATACTGACTGATACTGAAGTCCTTCGGTTGTTCCAACCGAGACTGGACACAGCGAATTGGGTGGCAACAGTCTCTCAACTTCGCTGAGGCTGGCGCATGTGCACAGAAGAGGTGGACTTGGAGTGAGCAAAAAGGGACGGATGCACTGCAGAGTACACATAAAGTTCCAGTCGACTGCCACGTGCGACCTGCATCGACCATGTGGCACTGTTCAGCAGTATTCGGCAGTCTCCAAGGTCAAGTGTGGTATTGGCCTGATTCTTTGCATCTTGACTGAATGGGTGCCTGGCTATACTCATGGAACCACATACTGATGCCAAGATTTGTCTCAAACATAAGTGAGCAGTGAGCAAACACTAAGAGAGCACCACACCAAAAAAGATCAATAAATACTGACAGTCACTGCAACAAATGGTACCCACCACAAAGTGTTTCAAGTCGAGCTTTAATTGAGTCGCAGGTTCTTCTCGCATAATCAGGGATTGAGAATAGAATGATAACGAAATAGGAGTCAGAATGTGGCAAAGCTCGATCAAAGACAGCAGCGTCCCTGGCTGCTGCATCGTGGTTGGCACCAGAAGTAGTTGCCAGAAGAAGCAGCTTGCCCCTGAGGCTTGCTTGGAGTTCAAATGATCTGTGCAAAGCTTGTAGTGATCCAGCCTGCAGTGTCTCTTTGTTTGCAGCGATGGGTGATGGTGGGTGTATTCAATCATACTGGTACATGTACATGCTGTCGCACCAGGTGTGAAAGGTCATTGAAAGGTCATGTGTGAAGTCGAGGATGTTTTTCAAAGTGCGAGAATTCCAAGGATGATATTGTGAACCAAAAAACACGTTTGTTGAGAAGTTGTTGAATGCTTTGGTGGTCTTTGATGGGCCGTGACGACCAGACCCTGAGAAATTCTGGTGATCTTCAATGACCAACGCCACTCGCTTTGCCAATGCCCGCATCAGGACGTGTTGCGTGATGGTGGGGGTCATCTTGGCTGGGCCCGCAATTGCACAGCACTGCTGCCTGCACACTAAGAAACATGCTCGACAAAGAGATCTTTAAGATCTTTAAGATTGAGTTTGACTTCCAAACATTGCGCAGTTTCAGAATGTCTAGCGAATGCCTGGTCGATCTTCTTGTCTCTTCTACTGGCAACGTTCCACACCTCTTCAAATCTGCCAACCACCATCCTTTGCTTCTTAAACCTGTTTTCTTCTGCCTTCTTATCCTCACTGTCTCCGCCCGTTGCTGAGGTCTTTATCCTTCTGTCTGCATTGATCGATGGGAAGCAAGCTGGAGTTGAAATCAAACAAGCTTCAATTGAAGAAGAGTCCTAGGGCCCTAGGGGACCGGATCCCAGCTCGAAGCTGGGCACCGTGATGCACCGCGCTAAATCAGAGACTCTTCATGACTCTTCCTCAATTCGCTGAATGTACAGATCGCTTATGATTGGTCGTTGTGTCTAGACAGCCCTTGCAACTCTGGAAAGCATTTACAAAGATGCACTTTCCATTGCGCATTGCAGAATATAGTCAGAGAGTACTGGTAGCTTGCATAACACGCATTCGGATCAACATAATCCGTCGGAAAAGGATGTGTCCTCTCTCCACTACGTGAGGCAAATCTGAGAATGACATACTGAAACCGATCAAGTTGCAGTGCACTGTATGTTGCATTGTATGTTGCATTGTATGCTCTCGTGGCTCATTTTTGCATGTGCTCAAAAGCGCTGGCTTGAGCACGGGACGGGTGGCGTATTGGCAGCGCTGCCTTCACTGCCATGTGGACAGAGAGCAGCGGGCGTGCAATGAAACTTGGCACCAAATCGAAGGCGAACTCTTAGCGTGCTGCAGCGATCCTGTTTTTTCGCAGCCAATCATTGGATGGTTGTCCTAGAAAATCCCGGAATCCGCCTGGTTGAAGGCTAGGCAAATCATTCCAGATTCCTAAGGATTGCAAGGCTTTGGAGCGATTTGCCTTTCTTGAACAAGGTGGGTCAGACCGCTAGCTGCGGAGGCAAAGGCAGAGGCTTCCTTAGTCAATGCAAAGGTTAATTGAATTCGCCTTTCAAGTCACAGGTATGGCTGTTTCCAAGTGGTATTTTTTTTTTGCGATTTTATACGGGTATATATATATATATATTAATTATATTATATAATAAATATAAATATATGTATATGATTGTATATGTGTATGTATATATATATAATACATAATTGAATAGAGTGAATAGGGAAAATTAGGTTCCAAACCATCACGTTTTTTCTTACCAAAGCCAGATTTGTCAGGTGATGCTGCTTCATGGCCTCTTTGACATCGTGGCCCCAAATCCAATGACGGCTGCGCCGGTGTTTCGTCTTGTGGACCTACAATTCAGGACACTCCACTGCTGAAAGTTGCTGAAAGTTGAGGGTGGCGGGATGGCCGGAAAGACCACCAGGCTAGACACTGAAGAGTAGATAATGGAATGGTAAAATATGGACAACATCCAAGGTATCTCAGAGAAGAAAACACGCGTCACAGCTCTCGTGTTGCTCTACATAAGCATGTTAAGAATTTCGAACCGAAAGCAGGAGCAAAAAGAAACGTGGATGGGCTTGGCTTTTTGCAATGCAGCTCGGCGCGCGTCTGTTGAGTTTGCCAACTTCATCAGCCCAGAACACACTGCAAGCAAGACTGCCAAGAGGGCAGATGCCGTTTCTATCCATTTCTGATTTGTTTGTCCTTGTTCTATTTAAGGCCTCATGGAGCAACATGGCGATCACGTGGTATTGCAATAGATCCCCTACACCATAAATGGGTGGTATAAACCATTCCGAAACGGTAGGTTTACGGCATTGGGTTCCCAACATTACTGTGAGGCTGGGCTGCATGAAAATCCGTAGCGCCTTTGCTGATGAGTTGACGGCCAAGCGCGTGGCCGGTACAGCATATCTGTGGCAGGCAAGGTTTCCCTGACGAAGTCTTGTCATTTTGACCTTCGAAGATGTTCGAAGACGTTCGAAGATGTTCGAAGGTCATTGATGTGTCCGAAAAAAAAGCCAAAGATGTGATCAAATGTGATTTGAGACCTGAGTTCCTCCGCAGCTTGTTACAACTGTTCTATGTGTCAGGCGCTTTCCATTTCGATAGAGGGCTTCTGGCACCAGAGCATTCCACGGCCCACCAAAGTGCGGGGATGCTGCGCTCTCCTGTTCTCGTTGTCAGATTGGCAGTTTTGTGGTCGCATGTGTTGCAATCAATTTCCAGGAAGAGGAATGATGTGTATGAAATGTGACAACGGCATTCATGTTATTTTGTAAAAGATGAAATTGTTGGAACCACCAAGTGGTCTGCGCTCCCCTCCATTTTCGGCAGGTGCTGGGCACTACCATTGCCTTCTGTGTACCTTGGCGTCTTCAAGGAGTAGGACTCGCCAAACTTTGATTTCCATTTCTTTCCGTTTATTTACATTTGCGTGAATTTGAGTGCACCATGTGCTCGAAGTTCGGATCCATTTTGATCCCATATGTTTTGTAAGTGTTTATCTGCTGAGGCAGCGATGTTCGCTTGGTTGCAGCTGCGGCGACCGGAACTGCGGCGACCGGAACTGCCCACACCGCAGACACCGGCACCCACTGCGCCGCCTGAAGAGTTGGTGAAGTCCTGTGGCGAGACAGCATGAGAGAGCAACGCCGTGAGTGGTGAAAGCTGCATAATAAAGCTGCAAGATACTCACCGTTCACCTATGTTCACCTTTTTCTTCGAGACTCAATGAGGATGAGGACCGTTGCTGTTTTCCTGTTTTTCCCGAAGACTTGGTGGAGATCATTCTGCCTAAAACAGTTGAGGAAGTGATGGATGCCAACTATGTGTCACCGCTACCATTAGGGAAGAAGCCGTCCAGAAGAACAAGATGCTTCGCTCCTTCGTCGAAAGTTGTAGCTTGTTGTGTTTTGATGTGCTTTGTTCTTTACTTTTGGAATTGGAACCTTCATTCTCCCGCCCAAAAGATTGTTTTTTCCCATTGTACACTGACTCTGTAGCAGGTTTCTGTTATTTGCGCTTCTTGAACAGTCGTCCCTGTAAAGCAGCAAAAATAAGTGCAAGCCGCGTTTGCAGATGATCCTGTCAAGCATAGGGTGCTGGTATGATGGGCTCTTCACATTTAGTGAATTTAGTGTCCAACCACCGAGGCACGAATTGCATAGACCGTGCCTGCAACACTCTGACATATGATATACTATGATCTCTGTATCGAAAAGGCTCAAGGAACCGAGTTGGTGACTAGTCTGCCTCGGTACGCTCCATATCGATTCTTCATGCCGCTTGGCGGAAAGGCTTTGCACAGACTTGGAAGATTTTGGAACTGCCAGTGTCAAGGTGTGTCAAGGTGTAAGCTACGGACATCATTAGGCACCTCATTTTCAGTCTGCAGTTCTGCGGAGTCTGTTTTTTCAGCGCCCTTGTTCAGGTATTTATAGTCTGGCCTTTTGTTGTGGTTTTGCAGCCGCATGAAGACGCTCACAGCTTTGTCAGTGCAATTCTCAGTTCTCCCCACCTTGGAGAGACATGATTTCTATGTGGTGCATAACTGCATAACCTCCAAGAGAAAGGGTGGGCACCAGGCAATGGTAGAAGGCTTCTGTATGATATCTATGCTTCAGGCCATGTCGACTAGTTACACTATGTTACACTATGTTACACTATGAAGTTACACTATGTTACACTCAATGGTCTGATTGCTTTGAGTATCTTTGAGAATCTTTGAGCTGTGAGGTCCTGCTCTTGGCGCTTTGCGCAGGTGCACGACATCCACAGGTGCAACGCTGTATCGGCCTTCGGTGTTGTTGACCCTGCAGTGCCTGGCAAGCCAGGTGCGACGCCATGGTTGGATGAGCCCAACCAAGGTGCTCCTGTGGCTCCATTTCTTTGAAATCTTTGATGCGTTTTAGGGACTTGAATGCCAAAGTAGACCTCAAGTTCTAATAGGTTCTAATAGGTTCTAGGGATTTCTAGGGATTTCTTGGGATTTCTTGGGATTTCTAGGGATTTCTAGGGTGTAGGCGGGTCCTGAGTGATGACCAGCTATTGTACGTGTTGTTTTGTCCTTTCTTTAGCCAAATTTTTCCCAGAACAACAGGAGAGCTCTGAGAGCTCGAGCTCATCTTTGCAGAGTTCTTCAAGGCGGGGGCGGGGCTCAACGGGCCCCTCCCCAGCAGTAGTTGGATGTCGTTGGTGCTTATGGGATGTCAATTATGGGAGCAACTCAATACCAGTCCTTATCCGGTCATAATTAACCCACACCAAGCCGTCTAACTGCCCACTCTTAGTTGTGGTCTTGGCCGGTGTAGATAGGTGAATCTGCGCAAAGCTATGTATTTGAGCAGCATCACTGAAGTTCCTAATTCAGCCGTCGGCCTTGGGTCTCATGCTGGGATGTTGTTTGCCGTGCTTTCCGGAGCTGGATGCTTTGCAGATGCTTGACCCCATAGGTCGTTCACAACGCTTACCAAAGAGTGACCTCGGCACACAGCAACAAGGGTTCTGAATTGATGTGCTTGACAAACGACTGGTAGTCCAGGTAGCTTAGTCAAAGGATTAGGCTGATTACACCTTTGCTTTTGCCTTTGCCCAGTCTCCCTCGGTAGTATTCTTAAAACGCGTTGTGACTTCTACGGTCCATTGAAACATCCAACCGAGAGTCCGAGCCACGAGATCTCCCAGGTACCCTTACTACCACAGTTCAAAGGAGCTTCTTGAGGAGGTGCTGGAACTGGTAGACGGGACCAGCTCAGCTCCTTTGCAGTTCTTGTCTCATCGGCACATGGATTCAGCATGATTCCGCATGATTTCGCATGGTTGTGTCCTTTGCACCGATCAGATCATCACTAAACTTGCCCACATAAAAGTCTTGCAGTTTGCAAGCTTTGCTTTTATTGTGTTCCACCCCATCACCTTCGTGGTAGTGAACTTGCCACATCTGACAAGTTGGTCAAAGAATGTCAAAGATGTTTGTTGCATGCCATTCGTGGTCTCATGTGGTTTCCCAGCCATTCTCAGCCCTCTCTTTTGATCTCTTTTGTTGAATCTGTTCAATTTTGCTGGTTTTAACATGTTTTAAAAGTGTTTGTGAAATTTTCCTGGTGCATCTTGCTGTGTCCAGGCCCGGCGATTGGTGTCTGGCTGCAAATCAGCTGCTTTGAGAACCATCCAAGAGGGAGATGTCTGGGCTCCCTGGACTCAAGTGATGAGTGAGTTCCCATGGTTTTCCTGGCGACTCGAGGTCTCGATGGATGTGGTGCAAATGAACTCGTCCAAGGCTTAGCGGCTTGGCACTTGCCAGCCGTCAGGTTTGAGCCTGAAATGAGAAACCAGAGATGCTCTTCCGTGCTTGAAGTGGGTTGAACAATTGATGGTATGCTTTCATCAACAACAGATCTATTGACATACCATGTACACCCATGTGCCATCTTAGCTAGATTGTTTTGGCAACTCCCTGGTCCCAAGCTAGGGCTTGTGTTTGTTGTTCAAACTGCGGTAAAAATACTGGATTCTTGCTCCCAGCTGAGATCTAGGAACTCCAGCCCCTGGGGTGCATGGCTATTTTTTTTAGCTTTTTAGTAAAAATGACGATAGGTCCCTTGATTTTATCTGCAGACATGCTAGATTTTATCTCGATCATAAGTGTGAGATAAATTCCAAGGGGCTGGACCCCCCTAGGTCCCCTCAAGGGTACTCGCTTCCAAAGAGGACCCAAGGGGGGTCCAGCCCTTGGATTTTATCTCATTCCAATTTTAGGTCAGGCACCTTGATTTTATCTTTGGAAGGTTGGGCTCATTGAATTTTATTTTCATCCTACTTGAGATTTGGTACCTATCTTATATTTTCAAAGGTTCAGCCCCTTGATTTTAGCTCCAACCTACTTTGATTGCAGTTCCAACGAGATTTAGGAGCTCAACCCCTGAGGTGCAGAATATATGTTTTAGTTTTTTGAGTAAATTTGAAGATTGGGCCCCAGATTTTAGCAGCACACTTGCTAGATTTTTTCGTGGCCCTATGTGTGAGATAAATTCCAAGGGCTCCGACCCCCCCAGGGCCCCCCCAGGGCCCCTCAGGGGCATTCGATTCCAAAGAGGATTCAAGAGGGGCGAGACCCTTGGATTTTATCTGATCCCAACTTGAGGTTAGGCCTTTTGATGTTATGAAGGTTGGGCCTTTGAATTTTATTTTTATCTTACTTGAGGCTTGGTATCTATTTTATTTTCAGATGCCAGCCCCCTTCAGTTTAGGTCCAACCTACACCTTGGATTGGAAAGGGAAAAAAACAACCTTGATTGATGAATTCCACTGCAAAACTGGCATCAAATTGTAACAAAGGTGTATTAAATTTATTGTGTTGAGCATTGCTGGCATGTTTATCAAACTCACCGTTACAAATTTCCTCACCTTGAAACTTTATTGTTTTTGAACTTTGAAATGAAAATATTGAATTTGACCCAAACAAAAAGGCTGCCAAATCCTGTGCTTCTTCTGTTCCCGGATAGCTGCTTCGACCTAGCGGGGCGAAGCTTGAAGGAAAAAAACCAAGAAGAAGTAAAATCCATGTCCCCAACCTTGATAGATGAACCCCTCTGCAAAACAGGCATCAACCAAAGGTGCACATTTTTTTTCTTGGGAAACGTGTGGCATGTTTATCAGCTTTCGCGCCACGGAAACCCTGTCAATATTATCTCTTTTGAACGTCATTCTTTGTTGAACTTTCACATCAAGGACAAATATTGAAATTGATCTCAAAAAGCACGCAACCAAATCCTGGATACCAGCATCTCACCCTGTCCATCTTCAGTTCCAGCAAATAAAACCTGTGTGCCCAACCTTGAGATATCAACCTCTCTGCAAAATTGGCGTCAAAAAATTTGCACTAAATTTATTTACTTGGGACAGTTCTGACATGTTTACCTTTATCATATTTGTTAAAAGTAAATCCAGAACAAAGTCTCCTGCACATCAAGGACACGCTGAAATTGATTCCCAAAAAGGCTACCAAATCCTGGAAACCAACACCTCGCCTTGTCCAATCTTTGCTCTTGAAACTTGTAGGGGAAGCCTGAAAATAACATCTGTACCCGCTAACCTTGATAGATGAATCTCTCTAAGAAAACTGGCGTTAAAGGTGCGCAGAAATTGTGTTCTTGGGAAGATAGTTATGACACGTTTATCAATTTTATCTCCGTTGAAAACCTTTCAAAGTGGCCAGCTTATCTGAGGCATGCAGAAAAAATCGATGGCTAAAATCCAGGAGGTCCATGGTTTCATAAGATTCACAGATAAAACATGTATGTCCTAAATATTCACAACATGCCCAAAATATTTTGAGGGGCCTGACCTTTGATCATTTTTGAACGTCCAAAATGCTCCAAAGTATTGGTTCCCTTGTCCAAGTTGAGTGTTAGCAAAAATGTTTGGTTTACGAATGCTAGACTTGGGCCCCTAGATTTTATCCATTCAGAAATGCTCAAAAGGGGTATGGGGGGGTCAGGCCCCTCTGGAAAACAGCCACTGGGGTCTACTATTTCAGGGGCTGGACCCCCCCTAGGAGCAAATCTGGGGTATGGTAAAAACCAGGGCAGTTTCCAACCTGTACAAATGTTTGAAGAAGAAACATGTCCTTGGAAAGCAAGCTCTGAAGGACCCGGTCAGCTCAAGCGGCGCGGAACAAAGTCCACTTCTCAGCACTGCCATTGACATCTCACTGCTCTACGTGTTTGTACAGATTGCTACAATTGGATACAATTGGCTGATGATGTTGATGTCTAACAAATCTATACAAATCCAACAATCATTGAGGTTTTCATCCTCTTCGGTGAACACAGCCGTGAGCTCATCAGCCCCGAGCTTTGCTGGCTAGAATTCGTTGGGTCGGTCGCAGGGCAGGCTACTGTACAACTTTCTGGGGAAGAAGGCTCCGATGTTTGGAGCTGGGGATAGATGGGGTAAAGAATACTTGACTGCTTGAAAGCACTTGAAAGGACTTGAAAGGACTTGAGGTCTTTCTGTACATTTCTCACCCATTTGGAGCCCTTTGGTGTAGTTGCAACTCACAAAGTGCTGTGAAGCCGGCCTAGCCACATTTTCCTCGTGCCTTGAGAACTTCAAAACCTGCGAAATAGCCGAGTAAATAGCCAGGACGGGGCTTGCTTTGTTGCGCGAACTTTGCAGGGAGCCCTGGATGGTCTGGGGAGCATCGGGAGCTTAAAGGATTGTCCAGTTGGTACACTCGGGATATGTTGGGATGCTGCAACGGTCCATTTCGTCGGCAATTCCTTTCAGTTCATCCAATGTCAAGTCGCTGTGTCTTATTTGTGAATTCCAATCTTTGGTTCAGTTTGATAGTTTGTGGCATCAATAAAAACAGATCATGAAGTATCAGGAAACCTTGCAGTTATGTTCAGGCTCTGGACCGAGTTGCAGAGTTTTCTCCATTCTTCGACATGGCACAGGTGTCAGGCCCTTCCACGGCATATTCTGGCAGCATCGCAGACAAAGCAGCGGATTTGGCGTTTCTATCGGAGGCATCAGACTCCGCGGGTGCTTGCGCCCTGATCCTGGACCTTGGTTCTGGGGAGTGCCAGGCTGCCAGGTTCCTGTCGTCAACACGTCGGCGGATTTGTTGCCTGGATGTGAACGAATCAGCGTTGAAGACCGCGATGCTGAAGATGGGACCATGTGCTGATGGAGTGCTGGCAGACATGACTGGAATTCATCGCGCCTTTCGGCCCGGAATGTTTGATTTGATCTGCTGCTTTTACTCTTTGCAGCACATCTCACAGCCATCGGATTGCATCAGAAGCTTGATGGTTTTGTCAAACAGAAACTGCATTGCCCTGTCAGTCCTGTTGGACCGCGATGTAGATGGCCATCCCCTTCCGCAACCCTTGAAATCTTGCTACAAGTCGTTCTTGGGACTGGGAGAGCTTGGCAAGGCTTTCGAGGCTGAAGGATGGAAGCACTTCTCTTGGAGTAGAAATCAAGTCTATGTCGAGTCAAATGAATTTCCCTGCCAGCGCGAGTATGTCATCGGGCGAGGAAGCCATTTCAAGCGTTCAATCTTGCCTGATGCTAGAGAAGAACCCCATACGACCAAAGCCAGACGAAAATCGGCATTGGATTCATGTGTTGTATACTTTGCATTGGACCTCAACCCCTTTTCATGCCTTTTTTCGGTCCTTTTGCACCAACCTTCAGGCGAAGGCAGCTCGGAGTTGTCGAGAGAAGTGCGGCAGGCCGAATGCTAAATAATGTGATCGAACCGATTGAACGTTTGATACCTGTGCGTGCGAGACACCTTATGATGGGCACGGGGCAGCTACTGGTTCCCCTCTCCACATCCTCAGAGGTGTTTCTCCTGGGTCTTCACGTTTTGAACAATGGGCTTCCCTGCCTATCCTAATCCATCACTCCCATCCCTGATCCATTACTTGCATGATCTTGCATTCATTTGCAGGACTCTGAATTTCTGTTGGTGCTCAATGGAAATCCCAGATCCCGGCCTGAAGTTGGGAGCTACAGTACAGCTTCATATTAGTCTGCTTGTAGTCTGCTAGATGAAAGCAAGTAAAAACACGTAAACTAAACACTAGAAAGCTTCCAGAGAGGGGTGTGTGTCTTCAGTGAGTCTGTGGTCCTTGAGGTTGAAGGCGGAGACTACTGTTTGCGCACGAACCCAAAGGGGGTTGATCTAAACCGGAATTGGGACGTGATCCTGGCCCGTTTGACAAATCGTTTGACAAAAGCAGATTTTGGGTCTTAACATGTCTTAACGGTCTCGACTCAGTTGCTTTGTTTCTGTGCCAACAGGAAGAGTGGCAGAAGGACTGACTGAGTCTCCATCATCAGCACTTTTGTACGATTGCGCTCCCAGCGTGCCAGAAAGTCATACTGAAAGTTAAGTACAAAATAGCTTTGGCATGCTTTGGCACAACTATGAGACTGTAAAATGACAATATTGACAGTTAATCTCTAGCAGCTCTAGCAAATTTCCTTGTCAAACTGCTTTGTTTTAGCAGGATTCAGTGTCCCACGGCGAAGCCACAAATCCAGGTGCCAGCAGCCAGTTGGACACATTTTCCGTGACCTTTTCGAACTTGGCAGAGGGAAACACATTTCGGTTTATGATATGATTAGCCGGCTATACGGCTATACATTATATGTACGTAATGTAATGCAATGCAATGCAATGCAATGGTATGGTATGCAGGTATATATTATGTTTCATTCTAGGTTGTATATAGCTCAAAGAAGTTGGTAGCAGCGTCCCAGAAGAAACATGATGTTGGAGCATGGACTGCTTAGACAGTATTTGCATGTTCCCAGGCATTTTTTCGGGTTCCTGGTTCATGTGTCCTTTTTGCTGCCCAAAGCCTTCTGCCCACTCCGATTCTACTTGCAAATCCAGGCCCCGCCCCGTTTAGCGAGCCAGAAACACGCCTCCTTCGGTCAGCAATGGCCTAAGTTCTGACTGTCTGACTGGAAACTCTTGCTCTCCATCCTGATCCATTGCTGAGTTGGTTTCAGAATACAAGCCGACCACCTACCTTTGCGTGCACAGTGGGACACTGGGAAGCTTGGCCCAAAGTTGTTGAATCGGTTTTATACATCTCAAGTCATGCAAGTCAATGTCCAGCTGGAGGAAACACGGCTTGAGACTTGTTTGTTGCTCAACGGCGCTTTTAACTAGTACAAAGCGAATCAAAGGGGACTCTCAGTTGAAGCCTTTTCCGGTTTTTGCATGTTTTTGCTCTCATGCCTTTGGCGGCATCTATATGTCACATTCATATGTCATCATATGTCATCATATGTCATATCACAATTGGGTATGATATGACAAAACTGGGATGATATGTCATCATACCCAATTTTGTTGTTGCCAGACCTGTGATGTGATGCCAGAGGACTCTACATGCCATGGGCCTTTGACCAAGTCCACGCAGCGGATCGTAACCAGAAGCTCAACCGGTGGGCACGGTGGACGTCCGACAGGGGAAAAACGGACACCCCAAGATATCCCAAGCCCGCCAGAAATCTGACAGAGTAAGGGAATCCAAATGAATCAAGCCACCATTGATGTAGAAATTCAATTCCATTCGTGGAATTGTGCGGAATGGGATATACCATAGAATACGATAGACTACTGTAGACTTACAAGAATCTTACAAGACTATACAGCCTGCTATACCGTGCTGCTTTTCATGCTTTTCCTTTTGTGTTTTACCCAGGAAGGCCATGATGAGCGTTCTTGAAGAGCTGGACAGAAGCCATTGCCAATGTCCGTATGGTGCAGCAGGAAAAGAGGCACAGCAGCCATGGCAGAGGGAAATAGCCAGACCTTTGATGAATATGATGAATGGTATACATTACACAATATACATACACACTATAATATATATATATTTATTGTATATAAATACTATGTATATACACGATATATATATATATACATACACACTCACACTACATATATATCTATATATGTACACACTATATATATATATTGTATATAGATACTATGCATATACACGATATATATATATACATATATAATATATATACATATACAAATACACGATATATATATATACACATACACGATATATATATATATATACACATACACATATGCACGATATATATATATATATATCGTGTGTATTACATACATACACACTCACACTACATATATATATATATCTATATACACGATATAACACTATTTATACATATATACTATATATATACACACTATATATACTATATATACACACACTATATATATACATAAATATACTATATATACACACTATATATATACTATATATACACTATTTATATATATATATACACTATATATATACAATACATACTATATTATATACACTATATATACACACTATATATATATATATACTATATATATACAATACATACTATATTATATACACCATATATATATATACACACTATATATATACTATATATATACTATATATATACTATATATATACTATATATACACTATATATATACACTATATATACACACTATATATATATACCATATATATATATAGTGTATATATAATACTGTATATACAGTTTTTTTACTGTTGTTGACTTGGGGCTATTCATGCAAACACAGCATAGGACACACATGTCCTCTCGGTGCCACAGACAGACCCAAATGAGCTGATTCGGATTGCCACAGCTGTTTTGCACATTCGGGTTACTTTGCTCACTTTGGTCAGAAACTTTGGCAACCCAAAGTCGCCTGAAGGTTGGCTACAGTTGTCCAGGAACGTCTTTGGACTGGATATACGACAAGTTTCGGAGCTGAAATAGATTTGCAGAGGCTGCGGGTTTTCAACATTGTCAGTCACTTCGTGGGGGTTCAATGGTACTGCAGATATCAGTTGCCACTGTTGACCGTTACAAGCCTCAAGCTTAGGTTTGATTTGACCTCTATGTCCGAATGCTTCAATGCGTCCTAAGCAGTGCCAAGTAAGAACAATTCAGTTATATGGCCGTGCAGGACCCAATTGGATTGTCTTTGGAGCCAAATATGTTTAAGTCATTTTAAAGTCCGTGTCCAGGCTTTAGATTGACCTGGCGTCGAGCGTGGCAATTGAATGCTACAAGTTGTGGTTGCGTCACCAATTCGCCAGGCATCATTACCCATTGAATGCTACGTTCAGATATTCGAAGACATTTTTTGAATTTATTTTTTCCAAGCGATTTGTTTGGCGAAACGGTGAAACGTTTGCTGAAGCCGTTTGGCGATTTGATCTCAGGCTTCAGACGCCCTTTGCTTTTGCCTTCGAGATTTATGTTGGCAATGGGCAGATGGCGATGCTCAAGGTTCGTCACCATTCATCACCCAGTCCTGTGGCTTTTGTGGTTGCAATTTTCTGATTGGAATGGCATGGAGAAGCCTGGAAACAGGAGTCATCTTTGAATATCTTTGGTCATGACATGGGAGGTTGAGGGAATATGAACACCACAGAGACCTTGTCGATTTCAGAAGACACCTGACTTTGAACTTGCTGTTTTAGCGTTTTTTAAGCATGGTTTACATGGTTTAGCATATTTTTCAATATTATTTCCCAGCAGTCAAGAATCGGGCCTTGCTTCCAGCCCTGAAACAGGAGAAGTGGCGCCAGAAAGCGCACGCATCCTCTGCGCTGCAGATTAACCACCTGGCGAATGCACGACCAGACTTTTTCAAGGCATGCCACCAGTGACATCAAGAGACATCAACCATTCAACCATGAAATCACAGTACCGACATTCTGCGAGTAGTCACGTGCCACATCTTACATCATCTTACACATTCAGAAGCAGCCACATTTTAGGAAATAGTATTTCAATAAGACTACGAGAAAGCATGTTGCCGCACATGCTTTGCATAGGGCCCAGGACTGGACTTGCATGTGAGAAGGTGAATATGATGTGACATGATGTGACAGTGGCGTCATCATGGGCTACCTTTCTGCGCAGCTTGTGTTGAGGCACACCCATCCGACTTCATACAAGTGTCAAACACAGAGGTGGCTGAAAGCAAGAACAGTCGAATCTCGGTTGCAGGCTGAATTCGCAGCTCCCAGTGTTGCAATGCAAATGTATGAAACATAGCACATACTGTAGGATCTGTAGGCCATAGGCCCATGGACTGAGCGTTGCAACATGAGCATGCACAAAAGTTCACCTGTACAGAAAGTAAAACACCTACAGTTCCATCATGTTCCAACATGTTCCAACAGCTTAGGCGACTGCTTTGAGCTCTACAATCCTGCCAGCGAGGACGGAACTGATGTCAGTGATGTCAGTCTTTGAATTGCCTTCGTCGAAATTGTGCTTCAGGACGTCTTTCATGCCACGGTGAATAACTGGGTCACTGCGTACCTGGAAATGGCTCAAAAGGTGCAGCCGTGTCAAGCTGTCCGTGTCGCCAGTGTTCAATTTGGCTCAGAACTCGCTGGCCGCAACAGTTTTATTCCTGGAAGGTGTCCAAGCACTTGCAGGATGGAAAAGGACTTTCAGGGTAGGGAATAAGTCACCGATCAACTCCGATCAAGATTCCTGTGCTGCTTTTGATACTTTGGATTTTTTGGAATGTCCTTGGAACGAACCAATGCTCGATGTTGCTGCACGCTGCAGGAGCTTGAAGGGGCCAAAGGGCCGGGCCAAAGGGCCACGCCAAAGAGATTTCGTTTCACGAAATTCGAGTGTTACAGGCTTTGAGTCTCTAGCTCCAGCGCACCAAGATGACAATGCGGGGCAGAGCAGATTCAAATGTGCGCATCATACGTGGTACATATTGTACTGGTACGGTATTTGTCGCAGATCATATTTCCAGCTCAACATGCTACGCATCCAAGGCCAGGATAGATAAACGAAACACATTTTGCATGTTGGAAGTTGAAATGAGATATCCTTTTGTCACGTTGATTATGCCAGCGCTTTTCACTCTAGCTGAAGCCAGAGAAATGTGGTCTCAAGCCACATGCGGATCATGCGGCCTCGCGGCACCGTGGATGCAGAGATGAGTCACTGAACTAAAAAACCGGTTCATTGATCCCATTGATCCGACCTGCAATACCTGGTTTTCCGAGGGTAAAAACACCAGTTTTCTGCTGGCTGAGGCAACCAATGCCGCCGGGGATTGGGGGAGGTGCAGAAGCTGGCCATTTGGTGCGGGAATCCGTGGGATGTCCAGATGCCAGGTGATTTGGCTGGGGGACCTGCGCGAAGGACCCACGGTGCAAAAAGCGTTTGCAACTGGATGTTTGAGAAGGGGAAGGATAAATATTGAAATAATATGGAAAAAATATGGATAAATACGAATAAAAATGAATAATGTGGATATTTGGCGATTTCTGACATGTTTGGGCAATGCAAGATCTACTGCTGGTTGCATTGGTGTCACTGGTCACCTAGGGCCGCCGGCACCTTCTCACTGTTTTTTCGCATTTTTGACAACTGACAACTGATGCTTCAGATGTTCAGGAGACTGGCCACCGAGGCAAGTCCTTGTGCAATGCAACATGTCCAGACGAAGTTGACCCGTGGTATTTGGAACGGTGTCCTGCAGCATGAGCTGCACATTCTTGAACACTCTTACATCCAATAAAATCCTGCTCAACGCTCGATTGAATGGTCTGTTCGGCGCAGCATTTTATCCACACTGTGTAGTACACATATCATATATATATGATTATATATATAGATATATACAGTATATATATATTATTCAGTTGATTAGAGTTGTACTATGTTGCACCAATGTTGTACTTGTTCAGCGTCATCTAATCGAGCACGCTGCTGAACTTGGCAAAGGATGAAGCCTCGGTTCAATGTGGTGGCGCGCTGCCGTGGGGCACACAGTGATTCACCGAAAACTGGGAGATTAAATGTACAGATTATTAATTATATAGGTTAAACTTAGTTTATATGTATGTACAATATATATATATAATATAATATATATATGTACATAATATATATATATATACTAAGTCTATATATGTAATATATGCATATGTATACATATGTATGTTGTGTAATGTTTTGTTCTGTTATGTAGTGTAACGGAATGGAATGGAATGTAATTTATTGTGATGGAATGCAATGTATCTATTTATCTAATCTATGTTATCTATGTTATCTATCTATGTTATCTATCTATGTCATCTATCTATCTTATCTATCTATGTTATCTATCTATGTTATCTATCTATGTTATCGATCTATGTCATCTATCTATGTCATCTATCTATGTCATCTATCGATGTCATGTATCGATGTCATCTATCGATGTCATCTATCGATGTTATCTATCGATGTTTCTATCGATGTTATCTATCGATGTTATCTATCCATGTTATCTATCGATGTTATCTATCTATGTTATCTATCTATGTTATTTATCTATGTTATCTATCTATGTTATCTATCTATGTTATCTATCTATGTTATCTATCTATGTTATCTATCTATGTTATCTATCTATGTTATCTATCTATGTTATCCATCTATGTTATCCATCTATGTTATCCATCTATGTTATCCATCTATGTTATCCATCTATGTTACCCATCTATGTTATCTATCTATGTTATCTATCTATGTTATCTATCTATGTTATCTATCTATGTTATCTATCTATGTTATCTATCTATGTTATCTATCTATCTATCTAATCTAATCTTATCTAATCTTATCTAATCTTATCTAATCTTATCTAATCTTATCTAATCTAATCTAATCTAATCCTTTCTTTTCTTTTCTTATCTTATCTTATCTATCTACCTATCTATCTATCTATCTATCCATCTATCCATCTATCCATCTATCCATCTATCCATCTATCCATCTATCCATCTATCCATCTATCCATCTATCCATCTATCCATCTATCCATCTATCCATCTATCCATCTATCTATCTATCTATCTTTCTTATCCATCCATCCATCCATCCATGCATCTATGCATCTATGTATCTATGTATACATACACGTGTATAGATACATACATACATACGTACGTACGTACGTACATACATACATACATATTGTAATGATACTGTATCTATCTATGTTATCTATCTACGTTATCTATCTATGTTATCTATGTTATCTATGATATCTATGATATCTATCTATGTTATCTATGATAGCTATCTATGTTATCTATGATACCTATCTATGTTATCTATGATATCTATCTATGTTATCTATGTTATCTATGTTATCTATGATATCTATCTATGTTATCTATGTTATCTATCTATGTTATCTATCTTCTCTATGTTATCTATGTTATCTATGTTTATCTATCCATCCATCCATCCATCCATCCATCCATCGATCCATCCATCCATCCATCCATCCATCCATGCATCTATGTATCTATGTATCTATGCATACATACACGTGTATAGATGTATATAGATATTAGTTTGGACGGATCTCGGCCCGAGAACCGAGACCTGAACCCATGCTCTCTGGGCTTTGTGTTGAATTGCTCTTCCTGGATGAGGTGCGAATCCGACTGCAGCGATAGGATGGAAGTGGAAAACTGTGTCACGTGAACGTAGAGATGTTTTTTCCGCTGAACACTGTACCGTTTAAGATATCTCAAGACATCTCCGACTGAGTCAAGACCTGGGATGTGAAACAGTCAGCAGGATACGCTAGAGTATGACCAAGAGCGGCGGTCAGGGCCTTGACTAAAGCATGATCGTGTGCCATCATGTACCATTCGATGTCAAAGATGTCAACCAAGTCAAATGAAGGTCAATGGTCTGCGTCAATTGCAGACTGGTCTCTTGGTAGCGGTGTTTAGGTCCAGTGCAAAAGGCCTGGTGGCCAGCTTGCAACGCCAGCTTGGGGTACGCAAACTCAGACTTTGTGATCGGATGCGTTTCAGGAACTATGCACTCGAGATGTGGCATAGCCATATAGTTTGTTTGGCTCAAGTTTGTGTTTCCCTCAGAACGATTTCGACTGTTCTCTCATGCAGTAACTCCATGCAGGATGCTGGTAGCCACTTGCGTCGAAAGAGCGCCTTTGGCTCTTTGGTGTCCCGTGGGGCTTTTGCTCGGCTTCCCAGACATTTCCTGAAAGCATCAACTAACAGATGAACAGCATTGGAAGACTTCCTACCCCAGAAATATCGTCCATGGATGTCCATAGTATATCATTGCGTTTCCCCTTCTTCCCGTCCTGAATTTTCCGAGCAGGCATAGATACTGACATACAGATAACTGAAATATATTGAAACATTTGAAGAGAGTCATTATATGTCATTGTACCATACATAAACATAGTATAACATAGTAATGCGATGGTCATCCGATGGTCATGCAACAGTTGTGTGTGCCTTTGTGTGGCACATGCGATCCATGCGAGTGCTTAAGGTTCGTGTTCTAGGGTACGAACAGATCTCCCCAAGACGTCAGGCTGGGACATATGGCTGCGAAGACATGGCGATGTTGGAAATCCAATGATATTCTGATATCAATATAGAGAACATGCTGCTGCATGCTGCTGCTGATTGCGCTTGATACCAACTAGACTTGTCAGTGTTGCCATCAAGATCATCAAGACGAGAGCAACAAGTGCCATTTGAATTTGCTACACACAGATTGAATCCATCGGAATTCCGATAAATTACGATAATTCATGATATTCATGATAATTGCGATTAATAATGATGATAAATTATAAATTATCTAGAGTGTAGAGATTTTTCCCTTGTTTCACTCTTTTTGTGGGTTGTGGACGGGACGCCGTTTCCGGTCCCCCAAGCCCGCCACTTTTCTGCAACTGGAGATGCCTCCGACGCAATTGCCGCTTTGCTCGGAGTCAACCGCATCTTGGTCCAGGTACTGTGGGGTGGGAAGTTGGAAACTCATCGGTGCTTGGATTCAGGTACTCTACAATGACTCTACAGTGACTCTATAGCAACTCTACGGTGACTCTGATACTACCCTCGCTCGGACTTAAGCCATGTCTCCGTAGTCCAAGCATTCCAAGCTGTGGCCTTCCATAAAGCCAAGATTCTGACGCAGATCTGGAGTGGTTCCACAACGCCAGCTCCGGAGAGATCAAGCTGAAGGCTGATCGGGAAGTGACCAGTACAACAGTACAATCTGCATTGTACTCATTGTACTCTGATAATTCATGGTTCCAAGATGTTCCAAGTTTCGTAGTCAGAAATGTGTTACCTGAGGCCAAAATGGGTCCTTGGGAAATTCCAATTGATTCCCAACACGGCGGAATCACGCCGAATCCGCAGGTTCTGCAGCCTGGTTCCCAGATCTGGTGTGACTGATGGACAGAAATGGTAGGGAGAGGTCTGATTGAGTTGGTGCTCCCCTTCACAACATCATGAGATGTCATGCAGTACAATACAATATCCATCAATATTATATATCTTATATATATATACAGATAATTTTAGATATAATACATTGTCGTGAAATTATAGCCATAGCAAAGAATATCGAAAGCAAGACACATGTATTATATACTGTAATTGTATCAATTATATCAATTGTGTTTCCAGAAGAAAAACACAACGGTTTGGAAGTTGCTGAGGCTCCGGTGCCAAAGCTGCGCCTGCGAGCAGCTGGGTGTCTTCGCTCAGATGCCACACATCGCAGCCACAGCCATGACTGGATGAATCTGGATGACCTATGGGAGGAATCAAAATGAATCAACTACTGTACCAGTACCATCCAATACTTGATAATACTTGAAGCTCAAGAGGAAGTCAAAATC